ATCTAATACAAAGATTTTCAAATAATTGTGCGACGATGTCTATGTTGATACGATTATTAATGTCATATAACTGGTACTATGGGTTGTGTTCCAGTTCCATGTGATTACATGCGATTACATAATAAATAAAAATATGAAATAATTGCGGAGGAATTCATCATGGTTGATGATAAACTTTTAAGAATTTACAAGATGACTAAGACTGAAAATATCGGCATAAAATCACCAAAAGTACCAATTGAGTCATGAAGAAAACCAGAGACAATTTATCGGAGCAAATTTCCTTTATCAACGAAATCATCTTCAGAGGCTGTACTGTACAGTCGTATTTATATTTACCAAAAATGTATACTAGTCTATTATTGAGTAATGGATGGGGTGGTGACAATTGATATAATTACACTGAAGGGGCTTTACAAGTAGAAATCAAAGTCACAAATTACGTAGTACTCAACGGTACAAAAGAAGAACGGGTTAGAAACTTGATAAGGTTAAAATTGTTATTGACTAGTGAGAGGAAAGGGTAGTTGAGTGTCCATTTAACAAGTGTGAAGAGAGTGAGAAAATGTACGAAAGGAACACGTGAGAGTGATAACAGTGAATTAATTATTAAACTAAAAGCAAAATTAAGTGATAAAAAAACTCCAGGGAACGACAAATGAAGGGATTAAGAGCATGGTAGAATAAGAGAGAGACAGAACAAACTTTTTTCTGCATACAGAGTTCGGAGTTGCATTGACGACTCGCCAACGCCTCCGCCATACACAAATACCGAAACCTAACGCCCTTTGAACCATTTTGCTTCACCTTGTAGGTGACCTTAATAGCTCGATTCTCGAGTACTTGGTGAACGCAATCCAAGTAGCTTCACCAGAGTCGCCTTTCAATATCATCTACAAGGTGAGGCCAAATAATAGCTTTACTGCTGTCTTTTACCCAACCACTTTGAACAGTGATGAAGAAGACGATGGTCGTTTTACCTATGTGACTGTCTTCACATGAACAATCATATTTATAAATTCACATTGAAGTGGCCACACTCGGTAGCTTATCCCTTACCTGTGCCGCAATTGTACATTTTAATCTCGGTTTCACAATTTATCATTATTATTACTATTATTATCTTATCTAGTCGCTATGTGACAACAGTTATTTTCCCCTCTACCCCTACAAGTATACATATTCCACCTACACACTCACCGTTGACTAGATTATATACACACTTGAATGAATTTATCCTTATTATTATTACTATTATTACGATCACCTCGATTGTTATCCATTAATTCACAACTTTATAGACTTTGAGAAGGCCTTCGACAGCGTTGACCGCGAAGTAATTTGGAAACTACTCGAGTACTACGGCGTACGTACCCCAAATATTCATCAACCTGATTCAACAGCTGTACAACAACGGTACATGTCAAGTGATCCACAATGGAAAACTCAGCGAAGCGTTAGCAGTAAACACAGGAGTCAGACAAGGGTGCTTATTATCACCAATGATATTCCTAATTGTGGTGGACTGGATTATGCGTCAGACAGTGGGAAACGAGAAGACAGGGATATCCTGGACCGACGTGAAGAATCTAGAAGACCTGGATTTCGCAGATGATTTATGTTTGATGTCACACAAAATCGAAGACTCACAAGCGAAAACCGACAAACTGGTCGAAGAAGCAGCAAAGACAGGACTCCAGGTGAACATAGACAAGACGGAGGTTATCAAAATAACCAACCAACAACAACAACAGCAGAAACATCCAGCGCCAATCACCATCAACGGGAGAGATTTGAAAGAGGTTACTTCATTCACTTATCTAGGCAGCATTGTCTCAACTACACGAGGAACGGACAACGATGTCAAATCGAGAATCAGGAAGGCGAGAAACACATTCATCAACCTGAAACCAATCTGGAAATCTTCGTCACTCAGCCTGCATCAACAACAAAGTGATTCGGATTTTCAATACAAACGTCAAGTCAGTCAGTTCTTCTATACGGATGGATCAGAAACTTGGCGGGTCACCAACAATATTTCCAACAGCCTGTTGCAGACCTTTATCAACAGTTGTCTTCGTTCTATACTGAAGATCATATGGCCGGAAAGAATCACCAACAAGAATCTGTGGGAACAAACAAAACAAGAACCAATCACCCAACAAATATGCAGGAGAAAGTGGAGATGGATTGGACACTCGCTGAGGAGGCATTGCGCTGGGTGACATCGCGCGTCAGGCCAATTCTCGAGTAGAAACCGAAAGAGAAGCGGGGAGTGGGACTTCCAAGAGTGACATGGAGAAGATCGTGTGAAGAGGAGTTGAAACAGTATGGGCTAACATGGACGCAGGTGGAAAGTACGGCAGGAGACAGAAGTAAGTGGAGACGTGCAGTTGAAGCCCTATGTTCCACTATGAACCCAAGGGAATAATAATAATATGTAGAGAAACACCATAACTGGGTGAGGTTGAAATCAAAAAAACTTTAAGAACTCGTAAACATTACTACTGCTACTACTACATACAAATGGTATCAGTATATAATATTAAATACAAAATTACACACATGAGTCTGCAAAACATCGAGCAATATATCACCTTATTGCATTGAGATGGAGAGATTAGTAGGATAAGGTTAACGATTCTAGGTGTATACTTTCATACGTGATATCCAGCTGACTGGCTGTCGATTAAAGGGTGTGTGTACTACTCATCAGTTCGCATCGTCTCCTTCATGGCTGTCAGTGAGATATGACCATTGAAGATGGAAGACATGAAAAGCCCGACTGGCCAGCTGTCTTTGATCATAGATGTCTCTGTTGTATCTACCTCCCGTGTTAGGTGATAGGTGTAATAAGGTAAGCAATATTGAGGTTAGGCGTCGAGTGTTAGGGGTAGGGACGGGAAATCAATCGAGGAGGTTGTGAAGAAACAGTTACATCAATTTAGATGGTTAGGACATGTGTTACGCATGCATGCCTTGCTATCATTTATCGTGGTCAGAAAAACTTGGTTTCTTAAGGAAACTACGGTGGAATTTTACCACTTGAACTGTGTAAATTGCAGAAACTGTGAATATGATGTTAGGAACCATATTCTATGAAAGATGGTTAAATGATTGTCAATTTATGCTAATTATCATCTCAGATGACAGATGGATGCGTACACTGGGTGAGTAGTCATGTATAACAGGAATGCCAGATTCGACCGTATCTTTAAGTTTCCTCTAACGATAGATAACCTTAGATGGACCGAACCTCGGTCATAGAAGGAATATAGTTGCTGACACTCCAAACAGGAAGAGAGAGAGAAACATACATGCACTGTAATGTTCACTTAAATGCATCTACACAAATAGGAACACAATACATCAAGTATACCTAGGAAAAAGTACGACAACAACACAGATATATAACCGAAAAGAATAGGGTTAAACAAAGAAAAGAAAAAATGTATCTCCATCATAGTAGTCAATTTCCAATAATATCATCCGTTGTCCTAAATTATAAGTTGCGAGCAAGTCAAAATTCCACCGTTTACACCAACAGTCGATGATTGGATGTGTTAATACATAATCTTCACCTGATCAGTTTTATCTTCCTTTCAAAACAACCAAAACAACATATGCTAACGTATAGGGACGAAAGATACGCGCACTACATCCACTGCAGCACTTATAGGATGAAAATCAACAACACAATCATCTGACCTGCTCAGTTGACGTCGCCTAAACTAGACTTTTTTCGTACGATGGTCTAAATAGAGACACGTAGTATGACGAAGACCATCATAATTCAATAAACGGAACTTTGGTTGATCCTCAAAATTGAATGACAATATTTCAAGGTCATGGTATTTGAATAAAGAGTTGGTAAGTGGTTGAATGGTCAGCCAGCTCGCCTTGTAATCTGAACGGTCAGTGTGTTCGATTCCAGGTGGAGTCATGTGTGTGTGTGCCAATGAAGAGTCCCAAACTACAATGAGTACAACTGACCAGAACTATCTGGTTTCCAATGATTCTTTGGCTGAAATCAGCTGGGGATTAAATTTGAAACCTAAAATAATCTCAGGTAACATAACAACTTATACTCTCCGAACAATAGGCGGCTCTCATGGCTCAGTAGCCTATTAGATAACACTAAAGTACTTCACTTCCAATAATGGGTGGGTCACCTTCCTCGACGGGCAATGTTAGCTGATATAGGGTCAGTCTGGAAAAGAGCTGGCAGCGGTCAGACCAAAACATGGCTCCACCAGTCAATGAAATCCACAACAGTTAGTTTAAGCCACGTAGGAAGGTGTGGACTTCCTGGTTGGGGTCCTCGGGACGGTAAAAACCAATGGTTGGAAACAATCGGTGACATGGCTCACAATCGTTCTCAGTGGCTGGTGCAGATGCATCCACTCCTTGTGACTCATGATTTCCAATGAAACTGTTTTGTTCTTCGTTATTACTATTCCTTTCTCTCACACCTCTGTTTATTGTCTATATTATGCATTTCTCCTACTTTCTTCTCTTGCTTTGTGTGCTACAAGGAGGGATTGTGGCGACTTGAACTTCCGCACATATATGCAAAGTTCTATGTCGAAAACAGACAGAATGGGAGGGTTGTGGATTCGAGTCTTAGTTGGAACACCCATTTGAGCACAATTATCTCTTATGGATTACAACACTACTACCTGCTTAGCATACAAGACCAAATAAAACTTAAGGCTATAGAGAGAGAGAGACACGACAAACAACCAAAATCAATAAACAGCATCAAAAAGAAAGAAAGAACGAAAGAAGAAATCAAAGCAGTAAACACTCACGACAACTTAATCATAAAAAGTGGACTACAAAAAACTAGAGTAGAACGGTCATATGATTTGACAGAGAAAGAGAGAGAGAAAACCATTATTTCGTTGTGTATTCTTCTTTCATTGTTATAAGAAAGTGATAAATATAGAATATAAGATCATTAAAAAAAAGAATATAATAATATAAAATGCACAACTCACCTAACAGCTGTTTTCAACACATCATCTGGTGTACTATTACTAGAATTGTTACTTATATTATTATTATTGTTATTATTATGAATATCATTGACACCATAGTTATTATGATGATGGTCATTGGCAATGATAATATTATTATTGAGATTGTTTTTTAAACTTTTAAACCAAGAATATTCTGTGTTCTCATGAGTTGAATTTGATGATGGCATTGAAGACTGTTGTTGTTCTCCTTCTTCTTGTTGCTGTTGTTGTTCCCGTTGTCCAGCATTAAACCATCTAGCACTTGTCTCAGCACTTAGAATAATAATCTCCATAAATTGATTCAAGATAACTGGTAAAAATTGTACTAAAGCAGTTGGAGTGATCAAGAGTAAAGCTTTCATTGCATTGCATAAGTGTAGATTTATTGATGTAGTATTTTGTAGGATACTTGAACTATTGACAGTCTGTTTCGTCTTTGTCGATAAGGGTGATGAATGCGGCGGAGAAGCTGTTGATGATAGTTGTTGATTAGAATTTGATTGTATTACCACATCATAACTGAAGGTGACACGATTTTGCTATAATATAATGATAAAAAGTTGAAGGAAGATAATTAAATAGAAGACGGTTGGATACATGCTAGGTAACAATGGGAACAGATCAAGACATACTGTTAAACTCATATTAGGCTCTGTGATGTAGTGTACTTACAATTAGTATGATTATCAACAATAAATTGTCTTCGAAAAGTTATCCAGTAAATAATTCTGTTTCATTGTACATTGATTGGTCAAAAGAGTAACACCTGTGTCATGCGTCTGGTCCATGGTGTTGAAACAGACTGAATTATATCACGCAAGTTTGCAATGTGCTCAACAAGATAAGTGACTCGTCATTGTGGTGCACTTTGTCCCAGAGGGGACTTGAGTTCCCTGACGGATATCAACAAACATGAAATCCAGGTTCAGGGCTTTTCGCTTATCACCTCCAACCATCTAGTACTGTTCCACTGTGATATATCGCATAAACAAATTAATACAACAGGAACAAAGACTGTTTCCTATGAAGTAAATCTAGAAACGGATATTTTTAGTGACTGGTGGTCACGGCGATGATCACGAAGTGGGCTGACCATTGATTTAGGTTTCAGTGACTGAATGGTCTACAATCTTGCCTTGTAACCGGAAGGCCCTGGGTTCGAGACCAAGTGGATGCGTACTGCCGATGAGTCCCAAACTAGGCCGACAAAACAGCTGGCTGGCCAGCACTCCCTGTGACTGGTTTTCAATCGTTCTCTAGCTGATATCAATCCGTGACCAAACTTGGAACTTAGTGTGCATTTGTTCAGTAGCTCGACACACCTTTACAGTTGCTACCACTTTTGTTGGTCAGCCTATAGTGGGAAGAAAGAGACGACTAACATCACCATCATCAGCATCGTATATCATCTGAGTCTCTATTCACCATTACAAGGAATTATACACACTCCAAAAATTCTCCAACTTATGTATATGCCATTATTTGAGGAAAGTCGTTGACTAAAACAAAGTCATCTTTATGAAATAATGTAATTCTACACGAATAAGATCAACTACTTATCCTGGAAAGGTACATGTAACTATCTGTGCCTTCAATAATCTAAAATGTTTATTCACTCTTGGACTCTTTTTTCTTTTTTCACACAATAATATAATGTTTGAAGTGTTTTTTCTCTCATCCTCTTTGTTTAAAGCATGACTTAACAATTGGATAAGATATCATGAACAAAATACTTGAATGTACTGGACTACTTCACTTCGACAAGAAGTTTTCAGAAGACTTCCAGAGACTTAGTTGTGTTATTTCCCATACTGAATAAATACCTGAATGTATTACACTATATTACATGTTCGCCAACCACTCACATACATGGTCTGGGGTTCGTTCGATCGCCGGCCACAGACGCACTCCCTTACCTCGCTAAGCTAGTAATAAGACTGATAAAGAGGGAAGGTTGAGCATGAGGCTAGCAAGCCCATCCCATTAAAAAAATAAACACCACCGCTACCCAAACTTCAAGAAAAACAGTACGGATTATGCCAATCACGGCAGGGTAGATTCATCGACGCTTTGCGACGAAAACGCGCATCGTCGTTACAGTTTAACAGTTGAAGATAAGAGACTTGTTTTTTTTCTTTTCTGGAATTTGGTACCGCTGTGTAGCGAAATTATGTGTACACCTTATCGCCAAATCATCATCTGCTACCTGCACATTTCCTTCGTATTGTGTTTCTTTGTCTTCCATTTCATGTGCTCCCATGTTTTGCCACAACGCTGAATCATTAGCTTTCTGTCTCTCTTTGATGTTAAATCTATCTCAATTTATGTGTGGTGGAGAGCGTCTCTTTATATACTACTGGTAAATCTTATCAGTAGCACGCGAGATAACAGCACTTACATCTATTGTGATATTTCAAATCCTAAGACACTGATTTTAAGTAACGTTACTCCATTACGGATAAAATTTTATTTTGATAAAATCATACAGTGTGATACAGTAAGCAATATTTACTGATGACAATGTTTCCAGCACAAACTATGACTGCTCATAATTATATCAAGGTACTCACATCATAACATAAATGAGAAAGAATATAAGGCATCTAACGTTTTCACCATATAAGGAAGCGACATCTGAGAACATACATAGAATTCTCAATAAACCAGGAATTAGGGTGGCATTGAAACCTACAAACTCACTCACGCAGGACAAGCTCTGTAGGCTAAAGGATCCGGTGGACCCAATTAAACAAACTAATATAATTTACAAAATACCTTGCAATGACTATGAGGTCAGCTACATAGATCAAACTAGTAGATCGGATCAGTAGTCAGATTATCAGAATATAAGCATTTAGCTAAGGTTAGAATGATTGATCCCAGAAGACAAGTAATTTAGAAAAAGCTGAGCAATCACGCTGCATGCATTAACACACAACCACACAATAGGGTGGGAGAGGTTTAAGATTCTAAGAAGTAATATAGGTATGTGGAGAAAGAGACTGATTACTTAATCCTGCCTGGTTCGTCGAGTCTACACCCAACACATGCGACAGAAATGACTCAATGCAAGTACCAGAGACATGGAAGATATTACTACCATCCGTGAAATTAAAGGATAATAAATAATCTTGAAATTCTATTTCAATTCACGTACATCATAACATTCTAACAAGTTACTTATTATTTTGACTATAAAAACACTCATCTTATTTCCCATCTTATTGTATTTGATTGATGACAAATATTATTATTTCCGAATGTACATTATCTGATATTACTGATTTTATTCAAATGTCTAATCATCAATTTCACTCATGTATATAAATGAAGCAAGAAAGTTGTGAGAGTAGTGACTTGATATAATTATGAGCAGTCATAATTTGTGCTCGAAACGTGGCCATCAGTGAAAATATTGTTTACTGCATAACACACTGTGTGATTTCATCAAAATAAAATTTTATTCATAATGGAGTTATACTCTACCACAGTGTACAAGTTTTATGCTTATTTTAAGTAACGTACCTAGAGACAATTAAAATAAAATGTGATGAATCTGTAGCAACGTGTGTCTTCATTTTGTATTAACAATATATGAACGTTAATACAATACAACTGCGTCGGTGGCAGAGCGGTTAGGACGCTCGCCGACCATGCACATGGTTTGGGGTTCGATCCCCAGCCACAGACGCACTCCTTTACCTCGCTAAGCCAAAAATAAAGCTGGTAAAGAGGAAATGTTGGGCATAAGGCTAACAACCCCATCCTGTAAAATAAACACTGTTACAGAAACTTCAAGCCTCTAGTTTGAAGCCCTATGTTCCAGTGGGGAACGTGAAAGAAAAAAAATACAATACAAATAAGGAAACAATATTTTTTCTTAAAATATGAACAATAACCGAAAGGATGAGTATACACACACATCTACCTTCTGTTTATTGATATTTAACACTTTTGAAGGTGACATATATAATACTTTTGGTAGTAGGTCTCCACAAACACGAAAGAATTTTGACAATACTGGATCATGAGTGTAGATTGAAGATAACGGTTTCAAATCGACTTTAAACAAAAACTTTCCATTGTCTATCCATGTTAAATCAACTGAATTATTATTATTTGCATTGGTGTTACTGGAACCATTGATATTGAATGATAAAGCATTCCCTGAGACATTTTGACTATTTGAACTTCGAGTATTCTGCTGATGATGATGAAAAAGAAGAAGAACAAGAAAAATGGAAAATGTTACAATTATTCTATGATAGTAACATTTGTGATTATCATGACATTTATACACACTTTGATGAAATGCAACAAGATTGATTTCATTACAAACTATGGGAACAAACAAAACAAGAACCAATCGCCCAACAAATATGCAGGAGAAAGTGGAGATGGATTGGACACTCGCTGAGGAGACCGTCGGGTGACATCGCGCGTCAGGCCAGTGCTCGAGTGGAACCCGAAAGGGAAGCGGCGAGTGGGACGTCCAAGGGTGACATGGAGGAGATCGTGTGAAGAGGAGTTGAAACAGTATGGACTAACATGGATGCAAGTGAAAAGTACAGCAGAAGACAGAAGCAAGTGGAGACGTGCAGTTGAAGCCCTATGTTCCACTAGGAACCCAAGGGAACAATAATAAAATAAAGAAACGGAAATTATCTGGTGATATTTCGCCTTAGTAATAGCAATTAGAAAGAGTTAGAGCGATTCAGTCACACTACGCAGATACGTTACTGCAACAAGGGCAACAGTAGACAGAAGACACCATAGCCAAATGACTTTAAACAGACCAATCAGATAGCTAAGCATTACGAATGATATGCATTTCATAATCTTAGTTGCAAGTTTCATCCTGAATCAGGGTTAAGGTAAGAGTAGAATCAAGGTAGGGTAATGATTTAGGTGAGAATGAAACTGGCAAAGAAGATTATGAAAAGCATACATTTGTAATGCTGAGCGACCTGATTGATTCATTCAAAGTCAATTGACTGCAGTGTTTATTCATTACTATTGTCCAGCTAAGCTACTGCGTTTGACCCCAAAAGACCATTATTTTAGACCAAAAATAATAAACAACATATGAATGACTGACTAGTTACAGCATAGAACTTTGTACACATGTGCAGCAGTTCAACTTGCCATACAAACCAACAGAAGAGAGTATAGGGAGGTTCAAAAGAAAGATAATAAACACAAGTGAAAGTTAGAGGAAACGAATACTAATATTAAACAACTATAAAGTTTTCTTGGATATGACTAATCACAAAGAGTGAATACAGCCATATCACTGATTATCTCCATCTCAGTCGGTCGGTTTTCGACATAGAACTTTGCACATATGTGCGGAAGTTCAAGTCGCCACACTCCCTCCATGTAGCACACAAAGCAAGAGAAGAAAGTAGAAGAAATGCATAATAAAGACAGTAAACAGAGGTGTGAGAGAAAGGAATAGTAATAACGGAGAACAAAACAGTTTCATTGGATATCATAAGTCACAAGGAGTGGATGCATCTGCACCAGTCATTGAGAACGATTTTGAGCCATGTCACCAATTGTTTCCAACCATTGGTTTTTACCGTCCCGCGGACCACAACCAGTCAGGAAGTCTACACCTTCCTACGTGGCTTAAGCTAACTGTTGTGGATTTCATTGACTGGTGGAGCCATGTTTTCGTTTGACCGCCGCTAGCTCTTTTCCAGCCTGACCCTATATCAGCTAACATTGCCCATTGTCGAGGAAGGCGATGACTAGGCATACGTAGCACATGTCCTAACCATCTCAGTCGATGTAATTTCACAGCCTCATCAGTTGATTTCCCCGCCTTACCTAGCACTCGACCGATGGCCTAACCTCAATATTGCTCACCTTATTATACCACTTCACGCGGACACCTATGATCGAAGACAGCTAATCTTTTCATGTCTTCTGCTCTCAATGGCCAGGTCTCACAGCCATAAAGGAGGACGGAGCGGACTGATGAGCAGTACACACGCCCTTTAGTCGATAGACAGTCGGATATCACGTCTACGCCAGAGACGGCGTAAACTGGCATATGCGAAACTAGCCCTCTGTATTCGTGCTGAGATTTCGTCGAAGATCTCCAGCTACCATTGATGTTTACCATCACAAGGACCCCAAACTGCAAGGAAGACAGTCTACACCTCCCAACGTGGCTGGCTTTAACTAACTGTTGTGGATTTCATTGACTGATGAAACCATGTTTTCGTTTAACCATAGCTAGTTAACTCTTTTCCAACCTGATCCTGTGTCAGTCAGATAAGGTTAGCCGTCGAGGTAGGTGATGGATGGCTAGGCATGCGCGATACATGTCCTAACCATCTCAATTGATATAACTGCTTCACAACCTCCTCGATTGATTTCCCCTCCCTACCCCTAACACTCAACGCCTAATCTCAATATTGCTCATTCTATTAAACCTATCATCTAACACGGGAGATAGAACGCATTCACACAGGATCAAAGACAGCTGGCCAGTCGGTCTTTTCATGTCTTCCATTTTCAATGGCCTTATCTCACTGACAGCCAAAGAGCAGGACGGAGCAAACTGATGAGTAGTACACACGCCCTTTGTTCGAAAGCCAACATGATATCATGTCTACGCGAGAGATGGCGTAAGTTGTCAAATGCTAAACGAGCCTTCTGCATTCTAGCTTTGATTTCACCAAGGATCGACCCGATGGGGCTGGCTGATGCTATTTCACAAATAAATGAAGCGGTCAATAAACTCTACCAGTTGACTCCTATTCACAGACACTCCGAAGCATATATATATTCTGAAGAAATCAATGCGGTTAATTGACAAATATCAGAGAATGTGGTGTAGGCTTCTGCGAAACTCATCAACTTACACAACAAAGTTAAAGTGGAAATCAATTAAGCAACAACAACAACAAAAATAGTTTCGATTGTTGACATGACAATAAAATGTAGACAGTTCAATTTTCTTTCATATGAACTACACAGATGAATGCAGGTAAATACAGATGAGAACAAATGAGCAAACAACTCACAGACTAATGAATCAATGGAGAATTTCATACAGGTATGCACACGTACGATCAACTGATCAGATTTCCAAAAAATGAAGCAATCAAATTAAAAGAGCATAAATGTTGTATTGATAATAATAACGAATATTCGAAATCTATGCAGATGACGATGATGAGTTTGTACATCTGCGTCATTGACAAAGGTTTACAGTGTGGCCACCATTCCAGGTGACTGCACTGCATTGTGAATTGTTAATATTAGATGGTTGGAGGCAATCGGCGAGATGTATTGGTTGACCCAGGTGTCGCGCTGTTTGACACTCACCAGTTAGAAAGGCGTATCTGTAACCATCAAGGAACTCGTCTCCCTCCATCTAAGATTCAAACCCAGTGTCGCCCAGTGCCGCCTACAGTCAGTGTTGGTACCACTGAGGAGCTATTCTGGCTCGTGATTGACCTCCTGTAGGACTGTATTGGATATTTTTGATTGCACACTAGTCAGTAACTAGTGTAATGTGTCTAGTCCTGTCTTCGGTGCAGACTGAATTCTATCAGTCATGTTTCCAATGTGGCCACAATGCTAGGTGGCTCGCCATTACGGTACACTGTGAATTGTTGGTATTAGATGGTTGGAGGCAATCGGCCACAGGAAGCCTTGGACCTAGGTTTCGTGCTAGTTGGCACTCATCAGCAAGGCGTACCTGCAACCTTGGAGGAACTGATGTCCTACAGGTGGTCAGTCGCGAGCCTGAATAGCTCAGTGGTAACGTCTCTGACCGCAGCACTGGGTGACGCGGGTTCGAATCTCAGAAGGGACATCAGTTCCTTCAAGGTTGCAGATACGCCTTGCTGATGAGTGCCAACTAGCACGAAACCTAGGTCGAAGGCTTCCTGTGGCCGATTGCCTCCAACCATCTAATACATAATCCTTTCTTTGGTGCAGACTGACTGGTGAATGCCAACTAGCATGAAACCTAGGTCAAGCAAGGCTTTTTGCCGAATGCCTGTCTACAACCATGTAATACAATCACTTTTCTTCAGACTAATTAAAGCCAGTAGTAAGTCACATACATATTCACAAAATCAAAAGCATCCACAGTAGGTTTGGTTAAAACAAACTTCAAGTCCCCTATATAGAAATCATAATTCGCCCGACTTGATTTGATACTTCAAATTCTCTCATTTTGATGATGTCGTTAAACTGTTTTGTCTCTATTTTTTTTGTAAATTAGAATTTGTGCTGAATGATGTACAGTTTTAAAAAGTGATAAATTACTGGGACTAAACGCAGTAAGCCTCTCAATTTGAAGAAAAATCCCACAGAACAACTGCAAGTGTTGAACGTAGTGATGCAAGAGAACAGAGTAAACAGAGACTTAAAAGAGAGATAATCAACAGAAATGGGAGTGAGGAAAGAAGAATAGCAATATGGAAGAACAAGGCAGTTTTATTGGATATTATAAGTTACAAGGAGTAGATGTATCTGTGCTAATTCTTAGGAACGAGGATATCGAGCCATATCACCAATTGTCCCTAGCCGCCATTGCTTTTTACCATCTCAGGGATCCCAACCAGGAAGTCTACGCCTTCCTAACTAACTGTTGTGGATTTCATTGACTGAAGAAGCCATGTTTTATTTCGACCACCACTGGCTCTTTTTCAAGCTGATCCGATGTCAGTCAGCTGAGATTGCTCGTTCACGAAGGCGATGACTAGGCGCATACGTAACAAATGTCTTAACCATCTCAATCTATATGACTTTACAGCCTCGTCGATTGATTTCCTCTCCCACCTACCTAGCACTCGACCCACACCTAACCTCAATATTGCTCACCTTATTACACCACTTAAGAAAGTGAATACTGTCCACACATTCTGCTTCCGGCAAACACAACAACACAAAATAATTAGGAACCTAAGCTGAGCAACAGAGATACATGGGAAAATAAATATTTACAGCTGAAACAAGTTACTATTTTACGGGTATAAGAAGGATGTATGTTAGAAAAAGTTAGATCGAGCTAAATCAACACAACCAATCAGTTATATAAGCAATAGTATTCGAGGTCTAAATAAGGCAAGATGAACAATATATGGAGATGTAATGTATGGTGTGAACAGGTAGGCCGCAGTAGTAGCATAATTAACTATTGTTACACCTAAAATAGTCGGTGGCGCAGAGGTATAATTCTCGCCAGCCACTCACTCATGTGGTCCAGAGTTTAATCCCCGGCTACATACGAACTCCCAAACCTCACTTAACTGGTACTAAGCCTAGCAAAGAGGGAAGGTTGTTTGTGAAACTAACAATCCCACTCCGTAAAAAATAAACACCACTGCTATCAAAGCTCCAAGCCCCATGTTCCACTGCTAACACAAAGGAATATAAAAAATTAAAAAAAAAAACACCTTAAAATAAGTATGACTATTAATTACCCAATGCATGAATTAGACAAACAATTATTTTTTTCTAAAAATAAACAAAAACAAACATTTACTTGTATAGTTGAATGCTTTAGATAACCCGGTTGAATAGTTGATGCTACACGAAGTTGGAATGTACCAACATTGAAACTGAAAGAAATATTTACAGAAAAAGATAATGATGATTAGTATAGACACACAAATACATTTTAAGCTTAACAAGAAAGTAAGAAAGAAAGAACAAGCACTTCTCAAAAACATTACACAATAACCTGACTTAATCGGTATACTTAAGCGATTACACAGACAAGCCAAACTGATTCCCATTTGACGTTTGAAAATGACGCCAATTATAAGTTATTTATTTATTATTTTATTCCTTTACTTTCCCAGTGTGTGTCGGTGGCACAGCGGTAGAGCGCTCGCCGACCACGCAGGTGGTCCGGGGTTCGATCCCCGACCACAGACGCACTCCCTTACCTCACTTAGCTAGTAGTAGTAAGACTGGTAAAGAGGGAAGGTTAGGCATGAGGCTAGCAACCCCATCCTGTAAAAATAACAACCACGGCTACAGAAACTTCAAGCCTCTGGCTTTAAGCCCTATAGTCCACTGGGAACGTAAATGAATAAAAAAATGTGTGCACCTTCACAGTGGAACATAGAGCTTCAAGCTAGAGAGTTTTAGAGTTTCGGTAGCAGTGGCATTTATTTTCACTGGAAAGTAATAACAGCCCCCCTGCTTACACACACACTCCCATTAAAACATATAAAGCTTTCCTAACCATCATCCAAACTTCACCTCCAACATTTCATCATCTTACCTTCCTCCTAGTGTTGATAATATCTCTCAGGCAGATTTTTTCATCCTGTCCTAACTCCACGACCACTAGTAGTCATGAAAGATAGGAAAAACAAAACACATTTTGTCAATAGCTTTAGACTATTGGTGATATGGCTTCAAAGCGTTCCCACTGGCACATAAACATTCAATCTTTAAGATCTCCCCCCCCACCCTCATATCCATGATACATCCTCAACGTTTTCCATTGTTATTATTCTCTCTTGAGCACATTTATATTCACTACAGTTCATTACCATAAAAAGTTTTTATATTTCCCAGTGAATGAATGAAAAACAAAAAAAATACGATTTTGTTGTTTTTACAGACAATTCGATATTTAATGCTACTGATAGCTTTATCAAAAAATTATTATTAAACCAGAATTTAAAAAAAAAATCAGCGTATACACGGCAACTTAACCGTCGTTTTTCAGAATGAGGTAGTTTTTATGCTGTTGACAAGTTGGCCAGTTACGTAAAGATAACAAAACCAGGTGTAGATTGTTTAATTTGATAAGCGTATAAAATTACAAATGCATCATGTGTTTACATAATGAAATTGCTTTTCACACTCGTGTTGATTTTGCCAGTTCATGCGGCTGGGTGTGGGGTGTTGTGTGTTGCAACCAGGTGAAATTCTGTTTAAGTCGATCATACCTATTCAGACCATTTGGATTCCATTTAATAATGAAGTGCTTCTGATGATATTAGACGTTCTTTGTGAAATTTCTCTGAATTATGATTTCAACATTGTCAAAATCAATTTTGTGACCTGATTCTATAGCGTAGCGTGTGGACGACCTATGGCTGATGATTTTTCAAGCTTTTCTAGTTCAACTGGATTTCTCAATGGTCGAATAGAGGTGGTTCTACGGTGTTCATTTCTTTTGATAAGGATTTCTCACGATGTTTGTCTGACGTATACCGCATCACATTCCAAGCATTTTATTTTGTCGATACAATTAGATTGAGAATCCTTAGAGATTTCTGGTCTTTTACATGGACAAGGTTGCTATGTAATGTGTGTCTGATGTTGTGCTTATTGAGTACTCCCTTGATATCTATCGTTTGACGTTTCTGATCTATATGGGATGACAACTGTAGAGGCCCATGTCTCTGGAATACTTTTTCAACCATATTTAATGTCGGTATTGATTTTTTAATGAATTTCTTTGGGTAGTTATTTTTATTGAGAATTTCAGTAATGTGTTGATATCTCTTCCATGCTAAATAAGCTGCAGCAACTTGAACTGACACACATTTCTGTGTTCAGTTGTACGTTGAAACTCAATCAGTCAAGTAGATTAGAAAAGAAACAAAAACACACCTACACATGGGAGGAAAGTGTAAATCTCTAGTATTAGAATTCAGCTAGTCAGTGCACCAAGGACCAAGCACGTGACATTGATTACCCTTTCATTTAATCAACAAACCAACCTATTAGAAATTGGCATATTCCAATGAAAATGAGATTAACAAAACAAAGTAATTTTTCTCTTTACTAAGGCTTTGTGAACTGGTTAAAGTTCTTCTGTATAACTTTACAAATGTGAAAAAGAAATGCAGTCTAGTTCCTCTGAAACTTCTTCTTCGTTCTCATACATTCCCCGTGAAAACCCTTCAAACTTGAGCGATGAAGTTTCACAGTAACAGGTGTTGTTAGCCTTACACGCCTAACCTTCTATTTTCAACCGGCTTAAACAGGCGAAAGTGTGTGCACCGGCCAGGAATTGAATCCTTGACCACATGCATAGTTGGTGAGCATCCTCCCATTGCTGGAAAACTGAGCTAGCTCACCTTGTAACCAGAAGGTCCTGGGTTCGACCCGCGATGGCAATGGGTGCGTACTGCTGAGGAGGCCCAAACTAGGCTGACAAAACAGTTGGTTGTCCAGTACTCCTGTGCTGGTTTTCTGATAGTTCTCTCACTAATGTCAGCTCATGATGAAATTATCCAACCCATCAAACAAAATGCCTACAAACCAATACTTGAAAATTAATTTGATGCTCACTAGCGACTGGCCCTATTCAGGCAATTGGCCTGCGGTTCTAGTTGGAAGCCGTGTGACCAGTAGGGTAGGGCAGAAGAAGAAGACATTGCGAAGTGGTCACGCTATGTCGTGAATTGGCAGAAGTTAGAATTCATGGATTGGCTGGCCATTGTATCGCGTCCCAGTGGCTTAATGGTCTATGAGTTCAGCTTGTAATCAGAAGCTCCTGGGTTCGAACCCTGGCGGTGAGTGCATACTGCTGCGGAAGAGTCGGAAACGAGGACGAAACAGTTGGCTGTCCAGTGTCCCAGTGTTGGTTTTCCAATGGTTCTCTAACCGATGTCAGCTCGTGATGAAATCCCTATAAAACCAATACTTGAAAAAAAAAAAGAAAAAAACAACCAAAAATATATCTCATCTATGTGCAGAATATAGCTTACTTTCCATATGTACCAAGTATTGGAATCCATGAATAGCCTGTACTAGATTCAACCGGTTTTTTATAACTACTGGTCTTCTCTTTTTGACCGGTTAAATTTGTTGCCGCTGTTTCACAGCTTACATGATAGAAACGAAATAGTAGATGATGGTCTGGAGTTAAATTCAACGGTAGACAAATCTTCGCCTACAGGGAAAGAAAACAAATGTGAATATATATAAATTTTTAATTTTTATATTTTTATTTTTACAATATTGAATTCTAGGTTTCCAGACCGTAGGTGTTACGAACTTCCTGAAATAATTTGAGCGCCGAGTCAGATTGATTCATTAGTCATTACAAAAATATGTGATGACTGCTTACATATTTTCTATTGGTAAAAATGTCCATAGACAAATGACCTTCAAATAAACTGACTTTAATGTACGTAAAATTTTTGACTACAAATTCTGATGCTCGCTAGTGACTTGCTACAGGTTGGAGCTTCCTGCAGTTCTAGTGAGAAGTCGTGACCAGTGAGGTCCAATTAGAAGTCACGTGTGGATGGATTTCCACCAACGACAATAGTTGGGGTCGCGCTAAAGTCACGAATTGGTAGAAGTTAGAATTCATGAGCCATTGAATCGGGTCCCAGTGGCTGAATGGTATACGAGCTTGCCTTGTAACCGGAAGGTCCCGGGTTCGAATCCCAGTGGGTGCGTACTGCCGATGATTCCCAAACTAGGATGAAACAGCAGCTGTCCAGTACTCCCTGGTTTTCAATGGTTCTCTAACTGATATCAGTCCGTGATCAACTCGTAAAAGAATAATAAAAATCCGAATAAATCTGCTGAAGAAGCTGTGGCTTACACAGCGAAACGTTCAGAAAAATCTTGTTTTGATTTTCTTAACACGCTGGGATTAATTTAAATAATTTATAATGAATATTGAATTCTATCTTATCTAATTTCATACCATGTTATGTAACATTTTATATTCGTCTACTAATCTTATAATTATGTATCCCTTTCCAAAATCTATACACCTTATGTATTATTCTATATACGAAATTAATTATTTTGCCACGGTTATAATCACAAATATTTTAATGGCATTTCATACCACTATTATTATTTCATGTATTCACACCTTTGACCTAATTCCCTCACCGGATATAATTTCTTTAAAAAAAACTATATATATATATATATATATATATATATATATATATATATATGTATATATATATATATATGATTGTACAGCTTGATAATAAATTCGTTGAAAAGAGTCTCTTCGCTGAATATTGTGTTCTTAATGCTACAATGCGAATTATTAAATTATTGAAAAAATGCAAAGACCCAATAACGATGAAGGAACCTAATGGGTTCCTACGGTATTCTGTCAAACTTGAGTTAGTGAAATCTGAGATTAACTTTTTTGAAAGCTGTATCTGTAAAAATGAATATCCTAATGGAAAGCGCTTAGGCGTAACCGTATATGTCCAAATTCTAAAACATTAAAGCGCCATACACTTAATCATATTGATGCAATCAGCTCTCGCGTTGTAGAGCTAAACAGGAACATATTTCTGAGAAGTCACGTTCTGTTTGAACTTTCAACTGATAAACGCCGGCAATTCGAGGAATATGTTTCTTTTCTCATCGAAAAACAGTCCCAGTCTGCTAACCTCAAGCATCTTGACAGTCTCAAGCAGGTAGTAGCAGAAAAAAGATAAATAAATATGTATTTAATTATTCTTCCGTCACTCTTTCTGAAATTCAACTACAAGCTCTATCACTGGGCCCCGAATTCTGTAACAGTTCGTCTAAAGTCAACAAGTGCAATTTGAAAATCTTATCAGACCAACGATCTCACACCCACATCACCTGAGGAATTCCAACACTTGAAATCCATAGTTCTTGATTGCTGTCATCAGTTTACTAGTTCAAAACCTAGCTCGAATAACCTTCTGACTAAAGAGCATGTAAATGTGAATGTATACAATTTATACAAATATTGGATATTGAATATTTCAGTAAATGAAATATCCCCATATTGAAATCAAAACAAGATTTTGAGTGAACAATTGTTTTCGATAACTTCTTCTTCAGGCTCTACAGTTATAAATTCATGAATAATAGAGTACATATAGCCAATAAAGGCAAATGAAAATAATATCAGAAACTGTATTGGGGTGCATGTGTAAGTTGAGGTGATAGTCCATTAGTTAACATAATCAATCAAATGTGTATAGGGTGTATAGTCAGAAAAATGTGATGAAGTGTGAATGAACAATTGGGTGATATAGTGCTGTTTTATAGTCATCAGAATACAAGTGTCATTGGGGTGAGAGAAATACGATAGACACAAAATGCACACAAACACACATTAACAATGGGGACACTGAATGTGAGGGCTGACCGATAATGTCTAATGATAAAATAAAGAGGCTGAATAGTAAATTGTAATAAGATGTTACAGAGTTGGTAGGCTTAGTGTAAAATCACAAAGGTTGATAAAATTAAGGGTAACAATGAGGTGAAATAAACTGGGTGAAGAAATGGATAATAAAGACATGATATCACAGAATGATAATAATGGTAATAGTAATACGGAAAATTAAGATCCTGGTGACCTTATAGTGGGCCAGGGTAGACAGAGGGAGTGAATAAGTTTTTTCTGTACACATAAGTCTGGTCTTTCTCTATTAATCTCTAAAGCCTCAGCTATGGCTAGGAGGCGTAATAGTGTGCCTTTGGGGAGGTTGTTTGGTACTCGATACACAACTGTAAATGACTCTTCTACTTTGATGCTGTGTTCGTTATCCACTAGATGATCCAGGATTGCACTATTTAATGATTTGGTCGCTCTTTTCCCAAGCCAGACCGGGATATGTTCACGGGTGCGTAAAGATAAATTCCTTTGGGTACGACCTATATAACTAGCTCCACAGGAGAAATTGAATTTATATACACACATTGATGTCGTCATTTTGGGTAATCTATCTTTAATGCATGGTGTCAATATCGGTTTGGTTGAGAAAGTGATATGCAGTTTTGCGGCACTGAAAGTTCTTTCAACAGCTCTCGTTAACCTACGGTTTAATATGTCGCTGGATATATCGCCTTTGAATTGTAAATTTAAGTAAAGTTTTTTCTTACTTACTGTGTCTCGTTTATTTTTTTTGTGTAGTTTCATTAATATACTTCTTTACGAAGTTGGTAGGATAGTCGTTCTGTAGCAAGGCGTTTGTGAGATTTTTTATTTCATCTTCAATGCAGTCGTCGGTACATATGCGCCTAATTCTATGACTTTATAAATCTTACATGACCTTATCTTAATTTAGTCAATATTTATTGGTTTAGAAAAGTAAACTGTCCATAGATTAGGATGATGCGACTAGTCACTAGTCTGAGTAACACACACTTACACACACATGTCATATAAATGACATTTACAAAAATAATAAATTGGGCTAGAGGTCAACTTCATATCAAGTGAAATGATGTGAATATGCAAATAGTCAACTCGGCTAATGTCTTTGACTAATAATGAAGTGTGTGTCTATATGTACGTGTGTACGAAACGTAGACTGCAATAAACCTGCACATATTTCAATGCCACTGAGAAATTATTGGCACATTTATCACATTTATGAATACAACCAATAATCATTATATCGTTTGATTTTTAAAACCTCAGTAGCACATTTAAGACAATTACACTTATTTTCAAGAGTTGATTTGCTTATCGAAGTTAGACCACGGATAGATATCAGTTAGAGAACCATTAAAAAAAAACAGAGAGTACTGGAGAGACGTTTCATCCTAATTTAGGACTCATCGGCAGTACGCACCCATCAACATGGGGTTCGAACACAGGACCTTCAGGTTAGCAGGCAAGCTGGCTCGTATACCACTCAGCAGCTACCGAGGCCCGATTCAATGACCAGTACATGAATTCTAACTTCTACCTATTTGTGATTTCAGCGCGACCACCAACCAATGTCAGTGGCGGGAACTCCATCCTCACTCCCGACTGGATGGACCCCAGTGATCATGACTTCTCACTAGAACTCCAGGCAACTGATTGTTGAAAATTAATCTGATGCTCGCTAGTGATTGACTGGCTAAAGGACGACATTGCCTGTAATTCTAGTGCGAAGTCATGACTAACCAGTAGGATCCACAAACAGGTCAGTCGGAGATGTGAGGACGAAAACACACCACCAGCAGCAATGACATTAGCTAGTGTGTCAGTTGCACTAAAATCAGGAATAAGTACAAGTTAGAATTTATGGACCATTAGGTAACCGGAAGTTATCTAGGTAGCATTGTCTCAACTACAGGAGGAACGGACGAGGATGTCAAATCGAGCGAGAATCGGGAAGGCGAGAAACACATTCATCAACCTGAAACCAATCTGGAAATCTTCGTCACTCAACTCATCATCAACAACAAAATTCGGATTTTCAATACAAACGTCAAGTCAGTCAGTTCTTCTATACGGATGGATCAGAAACTTGGTGGGTCACAAAGAAGATTTCCAACAGCCTGTTGCAGACCTTTATCAACAACTGTCTTCGCTGGGTCTATACTGAAGATCAGATGGCCGGAAAGAATCAACAACAAGAAACTATGGGAACAAACAAAACAAGAACCAATCGCTCAACAAATATGCAGGAGAAAGTGGAGATGGATTGGACACTCGCTGAGCTGAGGAGGCCGTTGGGTGACATCGTGCGTCAGGCCAGTGCTCGAATGGAACCCGAAAAGGAAACGGCGAGTGGGACGTGCAAGGGTGACATGGAGGAGATCGTGTGAAGAGGAGTTGAAACAGTATGGACTAACATGGATGCAAGTGAAAAGTACAGCAGAAGGCAGAAGCAAGTGGACACGTGTAGTTGAAGCCCTATGTTCTACTAGGAACCCAAGGGAACAATAATAAAGGTAACCGGAAGGCCCTGGGGTTCGAACTTCTGTGGTAGGTGTGTACTGCTAGTGAGTCCCAAGCACTAGGACGAAAGATCTGCCTATCCACTACTCCTTGTGGTTGGTTTTCAATGGTTCTCTCTAACTTGAAACAAATCGAATCTCTACAAACCAACTCTTGATATCAAAAATCAACTTATGCATATATGTGTGCAAATATAATAAAATAAATGATGCCTAATAATTTGAAATACTGAATGATAAACAAACATCAAAATAAAGTTATGGTTATTTGGCATATCAGCTCAGCAAACAAAAAAAACTATTGAAACGAAGATTTCCACACGAATTCCTGCTTAGTAATCCCACACCAACTGCTTTTTATGTCCTAACTATTTCAATTGAAATAAAGCTTAACTGTTAGTGGTACATACATATCTAATTAGAAGGCAAGAGTTTACAACAGGAATATCAATGAGGTGATGGAGAAAATAGAGGAGATGAAATGCCATTCAACCGTTACTGGTTGAAGCTCCATGTATCAAAGTGATCACATTAATTTATTAAACGCATAACCAGTGATACTGCAACGACAGAAGACAAGTGTCAGTCAACAGATCGTTTATTGAGAAAATCAACGGATATTTATAGATTTTTGTGTACAATATTATTTGCGTTATTATTAGCAGAGAAACAGCGTCTTCTGATTGCTTGTATTTTTGCCGAAGGTTGTTCCGTACTGCTTGTGACCGTTCCTCAGAAAGTTAAGCACATTCACAGGGCAATACACACACTTCCTTAGTTACGTGCCCATTAAATATAAAAGGAATGTTGTAAAATGTCTTGAGAGCAGAGCAAGAAAGATATGTACAGATGACCTCTTACAAAAGGAATTTGAATATATTCACGATTCCTTGACGGAGATGGGCTATCCGAGTAGTTTCATAAAGAAACATATGAAAATATCGGAGAAAAATCCGGAGACTCTGACTGCACGTAAGAAACCTCTATTTATTAAGTTACAATTCAATGGTGACTTATCAAGTGAGATTCTATTCCAAAAACTTTCAAGGAGTATGAGAAGAACATTTTTTGCAGTACACCTATGTTTGTCATTCTATAGCCGACGAATGATTGGGACGCAAACGAAGGATAAGCTTGATTGTTTTGCCACATCTATGTGCATTTATCAATTCAACTGCACCTGCGGTGACAGTTATGTTGGGCGTACTACTAGACAGCTAAGCCAACGTGTTAGTGAACATCTCCCATCGTGGTTTGGCAAAGGACAGACAAAAACAATTCGTAGCTCAATTTTGTCACACTTAATTGATAGTGGTCATGTAATCGAGAAAACGAGAGCTTTCAAAGTAATTCATCGTATTCCACCGAATCTTTCCAATAGACTTCGTATTCGTTTACTGCACACAGCTGAGGCGATAGGCATTGAAACTATTAAACCTAAACTGCACTCATTCAAACGAAGTTTGTACAGCCATTATCCCTCCCTTATTGGCCTATTAAGATATAACCAAATGATGACTTCTACACCACCCTTTGTTTATATTTTCAACCCCTTTCTTATTATCCCTTAATTTTAACTTCATTATAAACGTGTTTCATTTCCTTCCCTTACAATCTAACATTACTTAATCGGCCTATTTGTTTTTACTAGCCTTTATCGACTACTTCCACCTGAATAGTTGTTTGTTTAATCATACTGTTTTTTCATTATTCGTGTTACCACAGATTGCCTCACTTTTTCATCCTTATTATTGATAAGAACATTTTTATTATTATTATTATTACTATTACTATTATGACTAATTGCACAATTTATATTCAACATCGTATTATCCTATAGACAAAACACTACGATTAGTTTATATTTGAATTTTTATTTGTAAACTTACATATATTAGAGTTAAGCCTGATGAGATCTAATTGAAAACAATACTGTTCGCTTAAATGTGTTGTTCTACAATTTTTGCCTTGCAGACAGCTCTCACCACAATACTAGTAAGACGGCTGCTCAAACTTTTATAACCTGAGAGTAAGCTTAGAAAGCGTGAAACGATGGTTAAAAGTCGTCCAATGCCTAAACTAATAAGGCACATCTCCATCAACTTTGAAGTTGAATATTAGAAAGTCAAAATTTACAACACATCACGAAATCTTTCCAAACATACAGAATCAATGTATGCATAGGTAACAAATGAAAGAGTAGAGGGGGGGGGGAATTCCTTTGAAGCAGAAAACAGAACTGGAAGTAAGCGACTAAGTGTTTTTAAAAAAACATTATTTTATTCCTTTCCCTTTCCAGTGAACATAAGGCCACAGGCTAGAGCTTCGAAGTTTCAGCAGCGGGTGTGGCTAGTCCCACACCCAATCTTCCCTGTTTACAGGGCTTATTAATGGTTAGGCGAGGTAAAGGTATGCGTTGGCTTGGGCTCGAACCCCGGACCATGTGAGGTGTGGTTGGCCAGTAGTCTAACAGCGAACCACCGACGCTACTGTGACTCAGTATTTTATTGACATTAACGACTTCTAATGTTGTTATTATGAATGCCTATTAAACTGAGTTGTACAATTATACCAATTACTGCATCTTCCCCCCCCCCCCCCTCCCTATTACTCAATAATGGACTACTACACATTTTTGTCAAACATTAAAAAAAATGTACAGCCTTCTAAAATGATTTCGTCGATTAGGAAAATTTTCTTCGCTGAGTTGTTTCTTTTATTTTCTTTAAGACTGTGAATAGGTACTTTCGGTTAAATGAACACATCAGGCTTTACTGAATATCACAATCCACCAATTGGAATGGTAAATCTTTTCCCTTGTGACTAGTGATCTAGAACTTAATCATGTCTGATTGACTGACTGAATAGTTTCAATTTAGAAGTACTTTGAAAACACGTGCAGCAGTTCACCTCGCCACACTCCCTCAATGTACCACAAACCAACAGAAGAGATTAAAGAGAGATTCAAAAGAGAGATAATAGTCAGAAATGCGAGGCGAAAAGAATAGTAATATGAAAGAACAGTAGATTTTTATTTGGGTATTAAACATCACAAAGAGTGAATGCATCTGCATCATTGAAAGCGATTTTGATGAGTATCACCGATTATCTCCAGCCTTATTTGGTTTTAACCATCCGGAAAACCCCAAACAGCCACCCAGGCAGTCTACACCCTCTCTACATGTCTGGCTTAAACTAACTTTTGTGGATTTGATTGACTGTATGAAGTCATGTTTTCGTCTTAAAACCACTAGCAGCTGTTTTCCAGCTCGATCCTATGTCAGTCAGCTAACAATGACCGTCGAGGAAGGCGATCAGTGCAGCTGTTTCACAATCTACTCGATTGATTTCCACTCCTTACTTAGAACTAAACAGAAGCCTAACCTCAATATTGATTACCCTATTACACCTACCACCTAACACGGGGGGGGGGGAGACAGAACGCAGACACACATGATCAAAGACAGCTAGCCAGTCGGGCTTTTCATATCTTCCACTTTCAATGGTCATTTCTCATTGACAGCCATAAAGGAGAACACAGTGGACTGCTGAGCCGTACACATGCCGTTTGGTCAACAGCCAGTCTGATATCATATCTACTTAAAAATGAGTTCATAGATCTGTAGAATCCCAACCCAACAATAGGCATAAAAGACAACAAAAAAAATTAAAAAGTTGCAAATTCTTGCAAGTTCATTCTGAATAAACTAGTTTGAACATTCAACACTAATACACTGTAAAAATATCAGCCTACCTGGTCACCAAAGTTTGGATTTGTATCATGATAAATGACAGATGTATTAAACCATGAATCAAAGGTTGGCTGACGAACACTTGGACGAGTATAGAATACCTACAAAACAGTACCAGACAAAAACAAAAGACTAATGAAGGAACAATGATGAGAGTTTAACAACACTATAGTATAATCTACTTACATTCAGTATGAATATAACCTGGAATCCAGAAAACGAACTTCATAAACTGCAGCACGATAGACTTCCAACCAAACACAATGGTTTCAAAGCCTGCCACCTCGCCTCACATATTTCCTACTGCATAACCTAGCAGTAAACGCATATTCCGGCGAGTGCTACTGATAAGATTTATCAGTAGTATATAAAGAGACGGTCATCAGCAGATACATTTGATTTCAGCGTCAGTGGCACAGCGGTAGAATGCTCTCCAACCACGCCTCAAGTGGTTCGGAGTTCGGTCTTCGACCACAGACACACTGCAAAAACCTCGGTAAGGCAGTAATAAGACTGGTAAAGAAGGAAGTTTGGGCATGAGGCTAGCAACCCCATCTCGAAAAAATAAACATCCAACTGCCAGCGAAACTTCAAGTTTCTAGCTTGAAGCCCTACGTTCCACTGGGAACGTTTGATTTCAGAGAAGGCAATGATACAGCATTATGGAGATACATGGGAAACGTGAAAGAAACACAACACGAAGATCTGTGCGAATGATGCGTTGGAGATAAGGTATACATAATTTGGCTATCTAGGAATACCAATCCGCAGCAAATAAACATTCTTTTACCAAATCTTCGTCTTCTACCGTTTCAATATGTATCAAAAGTGATTACCAGGCATAAATAGTTCACAATTGTAAGGCAGGATAAAACGATTTTTTTCATAGTAAATTCACGCCTTACTAGGAATTCCAACAGATAAAGCATTTGATAGTGTGAAAAATTCCCATATTATGAATTAAAAGTCAATCTGAACGAAGAATATTCTTTTCAATAATTTCTCCTCTTCAGGTTCTTACAATTATAAAATATAATATTTGTTGTCGTTACAATAAAGGCCAGTTATGCGGCAGATACATTTTTAACGTAGAATAACAGATTAGTTATGGGGTGTCAAAATAAATAGTCGTATTTGTGTGACAAACGTGCTAGGCTGAACTCGATTACAAAATATTGTAAAACGGGAGACAATGGTGGTGATTAGTCATAATAGATCTGTAGAGTGTGGGGTAGGAAAATTGACAAGTCAGTTCAAGGTTATAAAAGGTGTCAGGTGAGTGGCTAGTACAAAGTGGTCTGTGTTAAACAGGAGATAGTAAGACTGCAATGAGAGGTTCATAATGAAATAACGAATATGTGAAATGAAACAGGTGGAGGCATATATTGAGAAAAGAGATAATATCACTAATAATAAGTGCGGATAGTAAGAACGAAAAATTCGACAGTATTGAGAGAATGTTTGCATGAAGGGCATAAATTATGACGAATAATAATAATTGTAATAGTAATATTTGTAATAATAAGTAAAGGAAAAAAAGCCCAAGAGGGTTAAGGGTAAGGAGCACTCTTGGTGAGAAGAAGAATCATCAATCCAAGTTTGGCCACGGTAGGAACAGCGTCTGGACGTGTTCTTTTTGGATACAAAGTTCCGGTTTAGTCGATCTTATTGCAACAGCTTCAGCTATGTGTAGAAGACGTAAGCGAACTGTACGTGATAACGACTTTGGAATTCGGTATATAACCCTGAAAGCTGTGTTGACATCGATATGATGTCCAGTATCGACCAAGTGTGACAGGATCGAGCTTTTTATGCACTTAATTTCCCCCCCTGCTGAACCAAGCTGGTAAATGTTCTCGAACCCGCAGACGAACCTGTCTAATCGTGCACCCTATAAAACTTGAACCACAGGAACAGTTGAAATGGTATATGCATGAAGAAGAGCTAAGCTAAAGTATTAAGATGCAGATTCCGAATCCTTACCAACCCACACAGAGAGGTGTTGTATATACACTAAAGTTAAACTTATAAGCTGGGATCACAAAACTCAGGTGTATAAAATGTTATCATTATTGCAACTAATTGGGGTTGTGATAAAACAGACATTATTACTATCATTGTTAACTTCTGTCTAGACATGAGAAAATCTCATGGAGGGGAGAACAGGATTTATCAAAAGACAGTACTTAAGCTATATATATATATATATATATATATATATACATATATATATATATATATACTAGACAGCATTCGTTTTCCTGATTTATTGATTAACATCATCATACTTGTTTACATAGTGAAGAGGATCCACGATACTATGTATCTTATTATATACCCTATTTATCTTGGAAATTCAATCCCCCCCCCCGGCGCTCCTGTTATTCACCCCATCTATCTACATAGGTAAAGCAAAATGTCAAAAAGTATTGGAAATCGAGAGATATGATTATTAACTTGATTAATAGAGAGAGGGAGAGAATATTCGTTTCCCTCACGATACCAAAGAAAAACTAATCAATATCTTCCTGACAAGAACAAAACTTCTTTCGAATGAAATTAGTAATTATATACTATTCAAACTGATGGTTTGCAGGGATTTAATTTGATTGGTTACAAGATTTTATCATGAGTTGACATCGGTTAGAGAACACCATTGGATGTACTTTACAGCCGTTTCGTCCTAGTGTTTGGGACTCTTCCAAAAGCAGTATGCACCCACCCCATTAGGGTTCGAACATAAGACTTTCCGGTTCCGAGGCAAACTTGTAGGCCATCAAGCCCCAGCAAGTCGACTGTGAGAAGAAATACTCTCCACAGCCGATGATATTGGCTAGTGTCAGTCACGCTATATCATGAATTATTAGCAGAAGTTGGAATTCGTATACTGGCTGGTCATCCGATCGCGTCTCAGTGGCTGAATGATTTATGAGCTCGCTGGCCTTGTGTAACTGGAAGGTCCTGGGGTTTGACACCTGGTGGTGGGGTGAGTACTTCTGTAGAGTCCCTAACTAGTCTTACGAAACAGCTGGCTATCCAGTAAGACTCCGTGCTGGCTTTCCAATGGTTCTCTAACTGATGTCAGCTCATAACGAAATCCTGTAACCAGTTATCATTATTACCACCATTTATATACACACTGATCAAAACGTAGCTCATTTGCTTAGGTAACACAGAGTTGTATCATAAGCCTAAAACCCTTGAATGTCACTTATACCACAGCGCTTATTTGGTGTAGGCGCTTAACTTCTAATCACCACTGTTGGGCCAAGGGTTATAAATCGCGTTCAAGCTAACTAGGCGATTATTATCACTAGTCTGCACGTAATAAATGTGTCACATTGTCAAATACATGGAAATGTCAGTGATTGAGTAACATCACACTTCGCATATTAACAAGACCGATTAGTTAAGTTACACAGATAATGGCAAAGTAAAGTATTTATGCAGAAATGAGGTGATTTTATGTAAAATCCCAAAGTGTAAGCCAACGATACCACATTGTGAATAACCTAGTTATCTCATCAATAGAGGCGATATAATAGAGACTAACTCGTCTTGATTAGTATGTGTGAATAAATACAAATCTATTCTATACGCATCACCATTCATCTTTTTTTATTTCTTTGCATTCCCAGTGGAACATAGGGCTTCAAGCTAGAGGCTTGAAGTTTCGCTGGCAGTTGAATGTTTATTTTTACGAGATGGGGTTGCTGGCCTCATGCCCAACCTTCCCTCTTTACTAGTTCTAATGTGGTGAGAGCAAGGCGAAAATTGTAGACACCAATTTTTTACGTCCCGAATCGGGGTCACGAGATAAAACAATAACAAAGATTAACCTTGAGCGACTCAACAACCAATAACAGAAGACTTAACGTGTGCAAATTCGATTCGCAGATATGTGGCTTAACTTTCTGAGGAACGGTCGCAAGCAGTACAGAGTAACCTTCACCAAGAAAACGACCAATCAGAAGACGTTGCTTCTCCGCTAATAAGGCTAATAATAATGTACATAAAAATCTATAAATATCTATTGATTTTTTCATTAAACGATCTGTTGTCTGGCCCTTGTCTTCTGTCATCACACTGTGACTGGCTTAGCGAGGTTTGTGGAGTGCGTCTGTGGCCAGAGACAGAGCTCTGAACCACATGAGGCGTGGTTGGCGAGCATTCTACCGCTACGCCACCAACACACATCATCATTCATAGTTGGATCGTCATAAAAATAGGCTCAATACCTACACCACAAAATACCTTTGAGAGTATAATTGAAAGTTCGAAACCATTTTAAAATAAATGAGATAATTGCTATGAGTTGAATTTTTACCGAAACATGACTAATGAGAATACATGCAATTTGTATCAGAATAAATCACAATAATCACTGACAAAAAAAGAACACAGTAAGCCTTTCATTCAGTCTACTTCATACACTTGGTATTCAGGATAGGTTGGTCCCTACTTTTTTGTAGCTTCTTCGATTCTCTTCATTCATCTACACAACCTTTCGATCATCTGCTCCATGGCAGCTTTTCCGGTTGAATATACAAACTACAGTTAGCTCTCCAGAGGAAACCATTCCACATAATATTAATTATATCTCTTGGTATGGGCAGCCTACACTCTACTGGTAGTTACACTTAAACAGTCATCGAACTGGATCGTCAGCTTACCCCACTATGTAGTTGTGTACACTAGTGGGTAGGTGACGAGTGTCAAATTTAATTAAGTGGTCCATCTCATTCAACAACTCAGTTAACTAAGGGTATGTGGAGGGGAACAAAATATTTTCAAATGGATGGCATACTATTAAAATTGAAAATTTATCACCCAATAAATCAATGTTTTCTCGCCTCTTTCACTAACCTTTAAAGCAGCTGAGCTATCCAAACTGTCATTTGACCGTAGTTCAATGAAACATGATAGATTACGTGCCTAAAATAAGGTAGAATGAAAGTATGATAACAAAATGCAACAAATATAAATGTTTACAAGCTTTCATCATAAGCTGATATCGGTTAGAGAACCAATGGAAAACCAGCACCGGATACTTTGACAGTCGTTTCGTCCTGGTGGTTGGAAATCTTCATCAGTACGCACCTATCGCTGGGGTTCAAACCAAGGACCTTACGGTCACAAGGCGAATTCATGGGCCATGAGATCGTGTCTCAGTGGCTACTGTATGGTCTACGGGCTCGTCTTGTAACCGTAAGATCCTGGGCTCGAATCCTGGCGGTGGGTGTGTACTGCTGGGGAGTCCCGAGCACTAGGACGAAACAGCTAGCAGCCCAGTACTCCCTGGTGGTTTTCCAATGATCCTCCAACCGATTTCAGCTCATGACAGAATCCGGTAAGCAATCAAATAATCTCAAACCAACATTTGAAAATATGAAAGGTTGTTTTAAAAAAAGGGACATTGAAATCCATAGTACTTTAAAATTTAACAAATGAGTCATTGAATTTTTTAGATTTTCCCGTCAATTGATTGGACCGGAGTGCTCGGTCTTAGATTGACATGTCGGCTTCTTGTGCAGATGCTTCGACGATGTCTGGGCATGTAATCAGAATTTAATTGGTGGATGATGACTAGGCAAATATCTATGGGCACTAGGTTCGAGCCTCGGTGGGAACATCATCACTCACTGGGGAATGCAGGTACATCCAGCTGACGAGTTCCAAATAGGACGAAATGCGCATCCTGGATTCCACTGCTAGTCACCATCCACCAAGTAAATGAGAGTCATCTTTAAATCATTCTCCACACTGAACCAAACAAACAACACTGAGTTGGGATAAATCAGTTAAAAGGTTAATAATAAATACAGAGTGTACAGTCTTATATTTCCTGTGGTTACAAAAATAAGGTTAGTAAGTACAGGTGAAATCGATACTGTGAAACATCACTTTCTTTAGATGATAGACAGTAAGGAAAGAAAGTGATGAGTAGCATTGTAATCATTGACGTGGGACAATATCAATTGTTGTTTGTTGAATAGACTTCAAATCTTTGTCAGCTTCTTAGAAGAAAGAATCTTCCTTATCGTTTCTATATTTGAATGCAGTTTTGGTGTAACGATAGCAACAAGCATATGGGCAAAAAGGCAAAGAATGATTATCCTTTCAAAGAATCAATTGTAAAATTTCAAACAAATCTCTGGATCTTCTTTTAATGTATCTGAGTTCTCTGAGATAGGTAGTTTAATTTGGAAGCTTCCACTGCCCTTCCACCGATAACATCTTTAATACAAAGTGAATTTATTTGAATTCTCCATGAATGATGATATAATTGTATCTCCTGACAACTACTGTTGTGATAGGTTATTAATTTACGTCTCTATTGATCATTTTAATTGAGTTCGTGTTTGAACTTTCTTGTCATGTGATGATTTACTTTTTATTAGTTGGTAGATTTGATCGATAGTTATATGCCTTTTAGTCACTGATTCATCTACGTATCAAGCTTCTAGAAATTCCCTGGCATCTTTTTTGGTGTTTCCATCGTTTAGAATATCTACATTTTCCAGGTCCATAGTTGTCTACATGCATCGACATGAAAAAATGCATCTCTTGTCTTTCGACAGCTAGTTTATTATTCGTGGATTCGAAGTCTTCTCTGAAGCTCTGAGTTGTGATAAGATTCAACCCGAAAATCACAGACTAACAGCTCTATGCTGACCTGATGTAAATTTCCTTTCAATCACTATTGATTAATAAAAAAACACGTAGTGTTCAGCAAAGATCTCTTTTAGGCGGCGAATTCATTCACACTTAGCTGTAGAATAACAATTATGTGTACTTATTTTTGTATGTGTGTGAACATTAGGTTTGTCCGATAGGAATAAAAATAAGTCAGGTCATTGTTGTCAAGATATTTCAAAAATGTGATGAGTAATCAAAGTGTAACTGGGGTTGGGGGTTTGAAGATTGGTAAGAGGATGGTGGTGATGTGTTGTCAAAAAGACATATTTAGTGACACATAGAAGAAGTTGAATAAACGTAATACAGTTACGTAGTGAGATGGATTGTTTAATGTGACTGAGTTGTGATTAGGATGAATATAGGAACGAAGGAAATATGAAATTATGTAAGAGTTCCAAGAATTACAAATGTTGTAAGGAGTTAGAGGAAAAACAAGCGCGCAAGCATCAAGTTAGTAAAAGTCAACACGGTTGTTACTATGATAGTAGAAGTGACACAGAGCAAGCGCAACAGATCATTTATTAGAATCAACGCATATTATATATTACATTATATGGTTATTTAAGAAAGAAACACAGTCTTCCGATTGGTTGTTTCTCACGTAAAGTTAATCTATCATCTATTTGTGACTGTTTCTTGAATGTCAAATCCTCTATATGTTAACTGCATCCGCCTACGCAAAGTCTGCTGTGGTCGGTTTTGAATCAATCTTTGTTCACATTTTCTCACGACAAATCTTGGGAACGTAAATATTGACGTAAATTACTGTCTACCAATTTGGCTAGTAGACAGCTCTCACCACAGAAGTAGTGGTTGAATGATTTCCTTTTGTATACATAAACGCTGGTTTCTCCAACTGAATGGCTAAGGCTTCAGCTATGCAGCCAAGGAGACGAAAGCGCATAGTGCCTTCGGTAAGTTGTTCTCCACTTTGTAGATCACTTTGAAGAAGGAGTTTGTTGAGATGGAATGACCAGTGTCGACTAGATTTTCGATTATCACACTCCTTATACAGTCACTATTACCTTTTTTGTATTGCATAGCGTTGTCGAACCCTTTTGGACAGGATAGGCGTCAAACTACCAATATATACCTGACTCCACAGCAACAGGTCAACTGACAAATGCATATAGAAGTGGCCAGATGCGGGATCTTGTCTTTAAGGCTTCTACAGGTCAATGGACAACTGAAGAACACTACTCTTAGTGTTGCTGAGAAGAATGTTCTCTTTCAATATGCTGAAATTCTTCTCTTGAGAATATCACAAGCTACGTCTCCGTTGAAATCCGGATTAAATGAATGGGTGCTACGTGTGTGTAACACATCCATGCATCATTATGAACATACAATAAGCTTTTCAATTAGATCTTTCCAATTCTAATCTACTTGAATTACACATAAGTAGAGTTTGATGACTTGTCGATTTAACCAAATCACAGTCTGTCTCTCTATCTGGATTCAACATAGAACTTGGCACCAAAGTGCAACAGTTCGAGTTGCCACGTTCCAAATAGCACACAAAGGTAGACAAGAAAATGAGTGAAGAGAATCAATAGAGTTTTGACAAGTATAAGAGTGAAACAGAATGAGTAATGGTAGAAAGGAATATGAAAGATTACAGAGACTGAATACATCTGCGTAAGCCATTGACAACGATTTTGAGCCATGTCACCTATTGTCTCCAGCCATTGATTCTTAGAGTCCCGAGGGCGGGGCCCAACCCGGAAGTTTGCATCTACCTACCTGACTCAGTTTGACTGTCAAGGATTTCATGGATTGATGAACCAAATCACAGTAGTAATAATTTGAAAGCCATTGATTCGATTCGAATCAGTATTTCTCAAACAACAAATGAATCATAAGAATAGAAATCTCAGAAGCGAGAATAAAATGTCCAGTGTCAAAATAATAATAATTATTATTATAAATACACCAATATTTCAGACACAAATGAAAGCTTTTTGATCACTGTATGGATACACGCAGACAAAATTGCGGTTGAATGCTTCAAACAAATTTGACATTTTGTATTTGACATTCATACCTACTACAAATGATGGGGCATTTTTACTGACGCTTTGCTGTATAAGAGTTACTAATAACTTTGATAAAGCCATTTTATTGTTGTTGTTTTTAAAAATGAAATATTGTTTTGTTCCTCATCCAATCGGGAAATACATATCTCTAATGGAATTATAGATGTTGGTTATTTTCTATCTTGACATTTGATACTAGTTTATCAAGTGTTAACTCGCAAGTATTGGATTGGTTACAGAATTGACCACGAGCTGATATCACACTTGATTGATACTCACTAGCAACTGGCCCTATAGAGGAAGTTACCTAGGGTTCTAGCGAGAAGTCGTACCCGGAGGGGTTCACGAAGTCAGGTGGCAAGAGGAGAGTTACTCACTTATGACAGTGGCTGGCGATTGCACTAATTATACGTCACGAATTGGTAGAAGTTGGAATTCATACGCTAATGGGTCGGGTGCCAGTGGGTCAATGGTCTACGAGTTCACCTTGTAACTAGTAGGTGTTGTGTTCGAACCCCGGTGGTGGGGGGACGTAGTGCTGAGCATTCCCATACTTAGACGGAACAGCTGTCCTGTGCTCCCAGACTTTCTATTGGTTCTCCAGCTGATGTCAGCTCATGATCAATCCTGATTCTACTTATTTTGAAAAAAATGTCAATTATGTTGGTTACGATCGATAAAAAAGAAACTGACACAGAATATAAAATGGTGATGGACTTAAACAAATTGTCAAACTAAGATGACCAATAATAATCGCACTCAAACATCTGTAAGTCAGTCTAACACTAGAAAAGTTTAAATAGCTCAGTCACATTGTTTATAAAAAATTAAGCTGTTGAATAACACCCATAGGAATCTCTGACACACAGACAGACAATGAATATACAACTATTCGTGACTAATGCCAACAGGCATGAAGTCATTACCGAGCTAAGTTTCTCGTGCTGTTTTTCCAGTGTGGCGTTGCTGGAATCACATGCAACTTTCCCTCTATTCCAGGCTACTACAGTAGACGAGATTTAGGAGTACACCGACCGGGAATCGAACGTTGGCTACGCGTGTGGTTATCGGACATTCCGCCATGATAAATCAACAGAAAATTAAAAGCATCAACTGACAACAACCAGATACCCACCATGGGTGCCTAATGTCACAATCATCATTTAATATCACTAAAGATGTACTAATTGTCACGACCTTCCCCCCCCCCGCCGGTTGACGTCCATATATTTCAGCGGGCTGCCTAGTTATCAATGCATACTGTCCTTTTAGGTGAAAGCGAAGTTCAGTTTTCTGAACACGTTGACCAAAAATCGAAGTATATCTAGTATATGATTTGACCTTGCCAAGTGAGAGGATGAGGCAAAACTAGTCTGCACCGCTACCTACTTCAACGACAGGGAGTAAAACAATTCGATATGATGACCGTTCCACTTTTTCGCGGAGTTGAATCAGCCAGGATAAGGTGATCGTTGACAAATTCTCAGCATAAATACAAAACCAGAGATGAAAGAAAAGATTTGACGTTTCCAGCGCCAAGTGCCTCAATAGATGAGGTTGTGATATAAAGTGTAGGTTGGTAGCAACTGTGGAAATCTTGAATAGCGGAGGTATAGATTAATTTGCAATGTGGACAAATGAAAATAATTGTGAAGCGACATTAGAAAGCGTGAAATGAAGACGAATACTTTTTTGCAAACTAAAGTGTCAATGCCATCACTGTACGTCATTCTGAGTCATGAAAAATTCTGGTAAAGTCGTAGGGATGTTTCTGACCAATATAAGAAACGAATTCATGTAACATTTGACTGGTGGTTTTAGTGAAGCAAGGTGTGTGTGTGTGTGTGAGTGTAGACTGCACAAGTGGGGTCCTCTAGGTGATAACCAATGACTGGGGACGATCGGTAGCATAGCTTAAAACCGTTTACAAAGATGCAGACGCATTCCCTCCTTGTTATTGTTCAGATCCTGAAAATCCTGATTAATCTTCATTTGATTATCTTCTCCCCAATACGTATTACTCAATAATAATAATTATTATTGTTTCTTTTAGTTCGTAGAGGAACATAGAGCTTCAGCCACACGTCTCCATTGCGTTCGGTTCGCTGCCAACGTTTTCCCCTGACTCCATGTTTGCCCACATGCTTTCATCTCCTCTTCACATGACCTCCTCCATGTCACCCTCGCACTGACAACCAACTCACCGCTTCCCATTCGAGTTCATCGATAATGGCCTGGCGTGTGATGTCACTTGGTGGTTTTCTCAGAGTATGGCCAATCCACCTCCATTTCTTCCTGCATATTTCTTGCACAATTGGTTCCTGATGGGTTGGTTCGTTCATCCAGAGATCCCTCATTACTGCTGATCTTTTCTGGCCATCTGATCTTGAGTATTGAGCGCAGGCAGCTGATGATGAAGGTCTGTAGTTTGTTCAAAGTGCTTTTCATGACGCGCCAAGTCTCTGACTGACTTCACATTGGAGTTGAAAATCCGCATCTTGTTTTTCATGCTGAGTGCTGTTGACCTCCACACAGACTTGAGAGTAATGAAAGCTTACCTTGCTTTCCCGATCCTTGCTTTCATATCTCCGTCACTTCCGCCTGTAGTTGAAACGAGGATGCTTCCCAGGTAGGTTGATAGGTAAAGGAGATTGCTTCTCTCGGATTTATCTCATTTATGCTGATTGTTGTTACTGTTGCTGGTGGACAGGAATCTTCATCACATCTGTTTTCGCTATGTTCATCTGAAGTAAGTCCTATCTTTGATGTTTCTTCTACCAACCTGTTGCTTTTCACTTGCATATCTTCCAGTTTATGGGAAATCAGACAATTATCATCGGCGAAGTCCAAGTTTTTTTTGTGTGGGTCCATTTAATGCCATTTATTCAATAATACTTTCATCGTACTTCGTTATCCTACTTTGACATGTGTGTTTTTTCTACGCTGTAGCAACTAGAAGTACTTCGCCTTTTACAAGGTTCAAAATAAGTCAGTCGAATTCAAGGAATAATAATTAGAAACTGGTCGATTAGAAAGAGAGAAAGATAGAAAGGCATTTGAGAAATGGAGTGAGAAAAATAAAAAAAAGGTCAGTGAAATACCATAGTTGATTGTACAATATTTTGTACATCATTTAAGTAAAACAACTAAGAAGAATAAACATTATGCACATCAGTAAAAATACTTTTTTTCTTCTCTTATTATTCCCATTTAACCAAAATAATTAAAAAATCAGTGTGAACTGACATTTAGAGGTTATATGGGAGAGAAAAACAGGCATGCATCCCTAAAACAATAATAAACACATCAGCTATTTATTCTTCTTTCATTTGCATAATGCATCAATTAATATTCTCTTAGTAGGAAGGAAATCATAATTGGAACAAATCAGAACTTTGACATTGAATAATCCTGCACTGGATCCTAAAGGTTACAACAAACTGGAATTAGTTTTTCCATAAATTACTACTATTATTATGTGCGTCGGTGGCACAGTGGTTAGGACTCTCGCCGACCATGCACATGGTCCGGGGTTCGATCCCCTACCGACGCACACCCGATATCTATGGTCAGCCTGCAAAATTTGGGCTACCGATATCCATGCTGAAAATTCCATGCTTGTACTGAAAATACGGTGTGGCATCAAGCTGTAATCAAAAATAAAAATAAATAAATAAATTCCCATGGGTTTCAGATGGAACATTGTACTTCAGCAACACATCTCCATTGTGTTCAGTTCTCTACACTCCTTTTCATCTGACTCCACGATTGCCCATAAACTTTTATTTCCCAACATCACCATTGGGTCTACACGCCCAACTCGTCAGTTTCCACTCGGGTGGGAATAACTGTTATGGATTCCAATGACTGATGACTGATGAAGTCATGTATTCGTTTGACCGCCAACCACCACTAGCAGCTACTTTCCAACCTCATCGATCCTATATCAGTCAGCTAACATTGCCCGTCGTCCAGTAAGGCAATCAATGGTTAGACATGCATGCATAACACATGCCCTAACCATCTCACTCAATCAATGTAACCGGTTCACAGCCTCGTCAGTTGGTTTTCCCTCCTTACCTACCACTGGACCGAAGCCTAACCATCTCAATATTACTCACTCTATTACACCTACCACGTAAGAAGGGAGACAGAACGCAGACGTACATGATCAAAGACAGCTGGCCGTTAATTAAGTGAGCAAAAAACAATAGGCCACTAGCTACACAAAATATTTCTCAGACAGGCAATGTTAAACTTAAATAGAAGATGAATTCTATGCACAATAAAAAGGGAGGAAAGAAAATAACATTTCCGAATATCATTTAAATATTTTAAAGTCAAGATGGCTTTGGTTACAGTTCTACAACACTACGATAAATTACTAAAAATAATAATAATAATCATAATAAAATAACATTTACCCTTGGAAAACTGTGCTTCACAGATAAATTTAATGATTTTGGACACACATAAAGAGTGTTGAAGAATGAAGTGAACGGTAGTAACTTTGAAGTTGTATTATGCTGTGCGCCTTGCACACCATACTCCATTCGATCTAGAGAATTTGTACGAGTTTGAATTGCACTGGTGTTGATGATTTTCGGTAGATCATTAGATGCAGAGACAAGTGTACCGGGTAAACTTCCAATACTAATATTTGACATTAAAGAATCTCTGTTACTTTTACCAGTTAATGAATTGTTCAGAAAACTTCTTTGAAGACTTCCTGTACGGGATAGTGAATTAGTATCATCTAAAAATTGTGTACAAGAAAAACAGGAAAGATAGGAGGAGAGGGAGGGGGAATGAGGAAAACTTAGACCTATCGTTTTCTAATTACCATTCAAACAAGTACCTTTTATTTACCTTTTACCTGTCACTACACAACGATTGATGGTATATTTTGTTCTGGCTATTTCTGAATTTTCTGTAGTTTCTCCTACTCCAGCTCCTAGGTTATCAGTATCAACTATCCTAATCACTTCAAACCATTACGGTAAGCAATGCTGAACCCGTTATGCAAAACATCCTTTTTCATCATGAGCTGACATCGGTTAGAGAACCATTGGAAAACCTCGAAAAATGATTTGATGCTACGTTGTGGATTGGCAGAAGTTAGAATTCACAAACTGGCTGGCATTGGATCGAGTCCCAGTAAGTGGCTGCTTAATGGTCTACCAGCTAGCTTACCTTGTAACCAGAAGGTCCAGTGTTCCAACCCAGCTGGCGGTGGGTGCGTACTACTGAAGAGTCCTAAACTATGACGAAACAGCCATCCAGTACTCCCTGCAGGTTTTTGTTCAATGTCAACTTATGATGAAATCCTCCAACCAATCGACAAAATCCCTACAAACCAATACTTTCAATAAACAGTTCATCGTAACACTTCAGAATACCTCCTCCTAGAGGCTCCGTGTTTACTGACTCCAGGAAAGAAGGAGTATCTGTAACTTTTAAGGAACAGTCTATTTACAATTGATAAAAGACTTAATTGGATAGAATCATTAAAGTACAAAGTCTATCTGACAAATGTGATGCAATTACGCAGTACATTTCGAACAATTTTTCAAGTTAATTCATACTTCTTTTTTTTGAAATAAAGGAATCGAAGGTCAATTGAAATATACAAATAACACATGCGTGGGCAGAATGACAATAAACAACATTATTTATTCTTGATAATCTCATTATGATATAAGGCAAGTTAAGTATATCAGTGGTGAAAATGTGTGTAATTCGATTATTCGAAGTATGTGTGTTTCGCTCAATTGCATAATCCTACAACTTTTCACAGCACATGTCCAAATTTATAAAGCGAACAAACTATTTTACACAAGATTGGTTTAATTCAGTCGTGTAAAACTTATGCTTTGATGTTAAAGTCTCCTACCACGACTACTACTACTATTAATCACCTGTTATTGATTTTGATTTGTGATACATTCTTACAACAGTTATTGATGCACATGTAACACGCTTGGATACGAATTGTGTGTGTGTGTGTGTGTTATTTAACACACATTTGGTAAACAGATGTTGAACAGTATATATATTTCAGAATAAATGACAAAATTAATCACCATTCTATGCACCTCATCCATTCGCGATGGTGATAGTTTCAGATTTGAAAAGTAAAGCGTACTGTTGAAGAGTCCCAAAGTAGGAAGAAACAGCCAACTGTCCAGTACTCTGGTGCTGGTTTTCCAATGGTTCTCTAACCAATGTTAGCTCATGATGAAATCCCGTCAGCAATCAAATCAAATCCCTGCAGACCAACACTTGAATACTAATCTGATGCTCACTAGAGACTGGCTGTAGTCAGAGAAGTCGTGACCAGTGAGGTACGGCAGGTAGGACAAATACTCGTCGCCGCTGATGACACTGGCTAGTGCCAGTCACGTTATATCGTGAATTATTGGCCACTGGAACGAGTCTCACCGGCTGAATGATCTATGAGCCTACTGGCCTTGTTTAACCGGAAGGTCCTGGGTTTGATAACTGGCGGTGGGGTGAGTACTGTTATAGAGTCCCTAACTAGTCTGATGAAACAACTGGTTGTCCAGTACTCCGGGGCTGGTTTTCCAATGGTTCTCTAACTGATATCAGCTCTTGATGAAATCGTGTAGCCAATCAAATCAGATCCTTGCGAACCAACCAGTTTGTGGAAATCTAACTCTTACTCCCCGCTTATTTTTTTATTTGAAGATTATTATTGTTATTATTAATGTTTCCTTTAATTCCTACAGGAACATAGGGCTTCAGCGGCGCGTCTCCATTGCGTTCGGTTCTCTGCTAGAGTCTTCACCTGGCTCCAAGTCTGCCCACACGTTTTCATCCCCTCTTCACATGACCTCCTCTAAGTCACCCCACCTTCGCACTGACGACCAACTCGCCGCTTCCCATTCATTCGGGTTCCCTTCGAGCGATGGCTTGTATAGTGATATCACTTGATGGTTTCCTCAGAGTATGACCAGCCAATCCATCTCCATTTCTTCCTGCCTATTTGTTTCACAATCGGTTCCTGGTTGGTTCTCTCTCAGAGATCCCTCACTATTGCTGATGTTTTCTGGCCACCCTTTCTTGAGCGAAGTATTGAGCGAAGACAGATGTTGATGAGAGACTGTAGTTTGTTTGAGATGCTCTTTATGACGCGCAGCGCAAGTCTCTGATCCGTATAGTAGCACTGACTTCACATTGGAGTTGAAAATCCGGATCTTATTTATCAAGCTGAGTGCTGTCGACCTCCACACAGATTTGAGAGTAGTGAAGGCTTGTCTTGCTTTTCCGATTCTTGCTTTGATATCCTCGTCAGTTCCGTCCGCCTGTAGTTGAAACGATGCTTCCCAGGTAGGTTGATAGGTAAAGGAGGTTGCTTCTCTCGGATTTATCCCATTTATGCTGATTGTTGTTGCTGATGCTGCTGGCCAGGAATCTTCATCACCTCTGTTTTCTCTAAGTTCACATGAAGTCGTATCTTTGATGCTTCTTCTGCCAACTTGTTGCTTTTCACTTGCATATCTTCCAGTTTGTAGCAAATCAGACATATATCATCGGCGAAGTCCAGATCCTCCAAGTTTTTCGTTAGGGTCCATTTTATGCCTTCAATTAAATTACACATAAATACTATAATATTAAAATATTTTACTAAGTTAACATTTCAATTCATCTGTATACCATGAACGTTCTTAATTAATTATCCGCCGTTCATATCCAATGAACTATTATTATTATTATTCCCTTGGGTTCCCAGTGGAATGCATGGCTTCAACAGCACATCTCCACTTTGTTCTATTCTCTGTTATCCTCTTCAGCTGGCTAGCCACACGATTGACTATAATGTCTCATCTCCTCCTCCTCTTCACCCTTGAAGTGACATCCCACACGTCGCTTCCCATTCGGATTCCACTCGAGTGATGGTCTGCACTGTGCGAGATGTCATTCGACAGTAGTAGCTCAGTAGCGTGTGCTTAATCCATCTCCATTTTCTCCTGCATATTCTTTTTATTAAGCGATAGGTTCTTGGTTGGTTTGTTCGCATAGTTTCTTGTTGGTGATTCTTCCTAGTCAGCCATTTAATCTTCAGTCACTTCCCACTGTGTTTTTTTTCCTTCACGTTCCCCAGTGGAACATAGGGGGCTTTAAGTTTCTGTAGCAGTGTTTATTTTTACAGGATGAGGTTGCTAGCCTCATATCCAACCTTTCCTCTTCACCAGTATTATTTCTGGCTCTGCGAGGTAAAGGAGTACGTCTGTGGCCGGGGATCGAACCCCGGACCATGTGCATGGTCGGCGAGCCTCCTAACCGCTATGCCACCGACGCACCACTTCCCACTGCTTAGTCTTAAATCAGACCTTGACATTCAATAAAAGTAACTGGAATCTACAAACTATGTGTTAGACAGGTTACTCAACAAACATCGACAAAAACATATACACATATGCAAAAAATCAATCTATCAGCTGGATAAACAAATTTATACCTGAATAAGTAAGCGCTGAATCATCATTATGAGATGAGACACCTGTAACTGTCGTTGTCGTTGCTGGTGATGACGTAGAAGGGGAATTGAAATCAAATAAATTTTCAACTTCACGTATAATTTCATCTGACATTAACACTGGATGACTAGATGGTATGTAACAATTCAATGAATAATTTGTTACATCAACTGTTGGTATATATGTTTCAAGATTTGAACTGATAATACCTGAAATTAATTTTTTTTTGTTTTTAAAATAATAATGAAAGTAAAAAATTAATTCTAAAATTCAACAGTGAAAATATTAATAATAAGATTAGACATTGAGAATTGAATTCAACAATAGAAAGTTTAAGCATAGTTCCATGCTTCAAATCAATTTCAGTTATGGTTGGAAGTGGGCACTGATGACAATATCACTGTCAGACGTCATAGAAGTCACTCACTTGTAACCAAAAGCTTAAGAAGCTATGCATTTCGACAAATCATACTTGTTAACAAGCAACGTAGTAAAAAGTTTAGGGGGACTAGACTTTTAATGGATTTTCATATAGAAATGGGATATATTTATTTATTTATTATTTCCTTTTGTGTTCCGATTGGGAGATAAGGGTTCAACAAAACAACTGTACTTTGTTATGTTTTCTGCTTTCCTCTTCAGCTGGGTCCATGATTGGTCATAATCTCTTATCTCTTCCTTGCACGATCTTCTCTATGTCACCCTCGTACCAACGACCCACTCCTCGCTTCCAATTGGGATTCCACTTGAGTGATGGCCTGCATTAAGCGCGATGTCATTCGATCGCCTCTATTTTCTCCTACATATTTGTAGAGCAATCGGTTCTTGGTTGGTTGGTTGCCAGCCAGTTAATTCTGTGTGGCCATTTGATCATCAGTATGAAGCGACCGATTAGGCATGCATGCACATGTCCCAACCATCTCAATAGATGTAACTGCTTCAAAACATCGTTGATTGATTTCCCTTCCCCCTTACTCACCACTCAGCGCCTAACCTCAATATTTCTCACCATACTATATCACCACCTTAAACAGGAGATAGAACGTAGACACACATGGTCAAAGGTAGCTAGCCAGCCTCTTCATGTTTTCCACTTTCAATGTCCATGTTTCACTAACAGCCATTAAAGGAGGAAGAAGCTTACTGGTGAGCAGTACACACGTCGTTTGGTCGACACCCGGATATCACGTCTACGCCAAAGATGGAATAAGTTGGTCAAATGCCAAACGAGCCTTCTGTATCCATGCTGAGATTTCGTCAGAGATCATTCAATTTATTTCATTCCTCACTTCCTGAGGAATTGAATGGATTACTCTACATCAACTTTTACAGACCTTTATACTTTTACCCTGAAAAACCGTTTATATTCAATGAAATCCATAACATCTTTCATATTTGAAATTTAACCTAAAACACTAACTACTAACTTTCTGAAACATTCTCTACAAAATCGGTGTCAGATCATCTCGATGATTATTATTAAAATGAGAAATCAAAGAATTTAAAGATATGAGTTTCACTGGCTGTCTTATGCAGATTGGTTTTCGTATAAAACAAGATCTAATTCAGTGGTAACGTCTCTGACTCCAGGTGGCACTGGGTGACGCGGGTTCGAATCTCAGAAGGGACATCAGTTCCTTCAAGGGTGCAGATAAGTCCTGCTGATGAGTACTAGCTAGCACGAAACCTAGGTCCAAGGCTTCCTGTGGCCGATTGCCTCCAACCATCTAATACAAGATCTAATTCAATCACCACTGGACGTGATTGAGTAATGAAGACCCGAGTAGCATTATAGACTCATACACACACACACACACAGACATCAAGTATTGCACAGTACTCTAAAGTACAAAAAAAGAAGAAAGAAAGAAAAAACACCTTCACATAACACAACTCAGTAACATAAATGAAGAAGTTTTTTTGTTAAGACACTTACGTGATATCATTTTTGCATTAGGATCTATATGTTGATCAATTAATTCACTGATAATTAATTCAAAACGCATAGGTAACATTTGAGTTTTCAAGGAACGTTCAACTATGTCAATGAATAGACGATCTTGTTCTGTTGGACAGAGTGCATTATCAGTATTAGTGCTTGTAAAAATATTACGTCCAATAGTTTTTGATGATTTAACTGATTGACTTGATTGAATTAAAGACTCTGGGATATTATAATGATGATTTGAATCAACTGTATTACTGATATTATTATGAGTAGTAGTGGTATCATTATTGGTTAGATTTGCATTACTATCGTCATATACTGGCGATGAATTATTATAATCAGACGATAAACGTGACAGCACCTGAACTGCTTGAATTAATGCCTGTTCAGATATTTTGTTTGAATCCATCTTGAATAGATGGAGAAAACGATTTGAACTGTTTAGTGACCTATAAAGATCCGTGTAAAAAAAAAGTTAAAAGAAGGTAGATTAACACTGAATTAAACTTCCTTCTTTTTTTTAAAGCAAGGAATATACACTCAACGATAATTATCCCTGATAGTTCAAATGACAACTAGACTTTTAAATAACTTACATGAAGTCTAAGAGGTCGATGACAGACATACTGGACAGCTAGCAAGATAGACAATACTAGCTGTATCGGATATCTAGTGATTTAAGGGGATCAGATACCTGGATTTCGCGGATGATTTATGTTTGATGTCACAAAAAATCGAAGACTTACAAGCGAAAACCGACAAACTGGTCGAAGAAGCAGCAAAGACAGGACTCCAGGTGAACGTAGACAAGACGGAGGTTATGAAAATAATCAACCAACAACAACAGCAGCAGCAACATCCACCGCCAATCACCATCAACGAGAGGGATTTGAAAGAGGTTACTTCATTCACTTATCTAGGGAGCATTGTCTCAACCACAGGAGGAACGGACGAGGATGTCAAATCGAGAATCGGGAAGGCGAGAAACACATTCATCAACCTCAAACCAATATGGAAATCTTCGTCACTCAACATCAACAACAAAATTCGGATTTTCAATACAAACGTCAAGTCAGTCAGTTCTTCTATACGGATGGATCAGAAAGTTGGCCAGTGGGTCACAAAGAATATTTCCAACAGCCTGTTACAGACCTTTATCAACAACTGTCTTCGCTATATGCTGAAGATCAGATGGCCGGAAAGAATCACCAACAAGAGACTATGGGAAGAAACAAAACAAGAACCAATCGCCCAACAAATATGCAGGAGAAAGTGGAGATGGATTGGACACTCTCTAAGGAGGCCGCTGGGTGACATCGCGCGTCAGGCCAGTGCTCGAGTGGAACCCGAAATGGAAGCGGCGAGTGGGACGTCCAAGGGTGACATGGAGGAGATCGTGTGAAGAGGAGCTGAAACAGTATGGATTAACATGGATGCAGGTGAAAAGTACAGCAGAAGACAGAAGCAAGTGGAGACGTGTAGTTGAAGCCCTATGTTCCACTAGGAACCCAAAGGAACAATATTATAATATAATAATAGAGACCAGGTGAGAATCTGGATCACATATCTACTAACTCCATAAAGTGTCCTCAACGTACTAAACCGAGAGGTTATCACACTGAATATGACTACGGATATCTAACGACCTACCTACCACAAAATGAAGTGTCGGTGGTTCACCAGTAGAGTGTTGGCCGACCGCTTATAATCGAGACAAAGAGGGAAGGTTGGGTGTGAGGCTAGCAACTCCACCCAGTAAAAACAAAAGACCACTGCTACTGAAACTTCAAAGCCCAAACTTCAAGGCCTATGTTCTAATCAGAATGCAAAAAGAATAAAAATAAATTTTTTTAAAATATCTATCTGTCTGTTTTCATAGAACTTTGCATCAATGTGCAACAGTTCAATTCGCCACACTCCATCCACGTAGCACACAAAACCAGAGAAGAAAGTAGAAGAAATGCATATTAGAGACAGTAAACAGAGGTGTGAGACAAAGGAATAGTAATAACGAAGAACAAAACAGTTTAATTGGAAATCATAAGTCACAAGGAGTGGATGCATCTGTTCCATCATTCAGAACGATTTTGATCCATATCACCAATTTTCTCCAGCCTTTATTGGTTTTTACCGTCCGACGGACCCCAACCAGTCAGGAAGCCAGTCTACACCTTCCTACATGGCTGGTTGGCTTAAACTAACTGTTGCGGATTTCATTGACTGGTGGAGCCATGTTTCGGTCTGACCGCCGCTAGCTCTTTTCCAGCCTGACCCTATGTCAGCTAACATTGCCAGTCGAGGAAGGCGATGGATGGGCACGCATGCGTAACACATGTCCTAACCATCTCAGTCGATGTAATTTCACAGTCTCGTCTATTGATTTCCCCGCCTTACCTAGCACTCGACGCCTAACCTCAATATTGCTCACCTTATTATACCACTTTACGAGGGAGATGGAACGCAGGCAACTATGATCAAAGACAGCTAGCCAGTCGGGCTTTTCATGTCTTCCACTCTCAATGGCCATGTCTCATTCACATTCATAAAGGAGGACGGGGTGGACTGCTGAGCAGTACACACGCCCTTTGGTTGAGAGCCAGTCGGATATCACGTCTACTAAGCCAGAAACAGTGTGAACTGGCATATGCGAAACTAGCCTTCTGTATCCGTGCTCAGATTTCATCAGGGATCAACGCTCTAGGGCTGGCTGATGCAGCTTCCCAAATAAGTGAAGTAGTCAACGCGCTCAACCACTACTTCACTCCCTATTTGTAAGCTAGGAGTCAATTTAGCCCAGTCCAGTCATGTAGCCTCATCATCTTACATATGGCGGGAGTGAATCATATGCCAAAAATTCGTAGACTGTAACTCAAGGTGCAACCATTATACCTCTTATTTCCATATCTTTACTAATCTGTAAAGAAAAGATCTTTTTTTGTTAAAGAAATCTTGATAAATAGGACAGAAATCTAGGCGAGACTATACTATGACCTTTTTAATCAAAGTGATATTATGACATAGAAATTGGACATAAGTTCCTTGATTTTTATTTCCAGGAACAGGTATTTCACGTTCCTCCTCAGTAACTCAACAACCAACCACGTGCAATTCTATGGTAATGAGTCACACCTTTTGTGTATGAGGGCTAGTGGTGCTACGTCATTACCCAAACCTTAGTAGATGGAACAGGGTTCGAACTCGTGACCCACTTGGTTGAAAGTTATGAGCCTAAACTAATGAATGAGCCACTGCTCCAATTCATGTTCCAGCCAAGGAGAGCCACACACCTATTGTGTGAGGACTAATGGCACTACTACTGCCCAGTTACCCAGGTTGAAGTAGGCGGAGTGGGACTCAGACCTAGGATCCTTAGCTGTGCTATAGGCCAATGGGGCAATATCACAGGGATTAATAACCAAAAAAAGAAAGAAAAGAGAAGAAAACACATAAAAGAAAAATTAGGCATAAACACACCTTGCACCCCATGCAAATGGCATACGATATCGACCGATATTTCGACAATAATTCACCATTGTTTTTTGTATACTTGATCCAGTTTTATAATCATTCATATTTGTGCCAGAAGTATTTTTCAGATATTTTTCTACTGCTGTAGTTATTGGTCCACTGAGCACTTTGTCAACACGTACAACTAAATAAAGGCTGTTAGCATGATAAGATGATGGAACTGAAAATAATGCCTGAAAAGTAAAAAAGATAGAGGAGAATACAATGGATTACTTAAAGTCATCATGTTCTACAGTGAATTTCACGACTGTATGCGTTGAGTAATTTACTGTAAATCAACAGATATCACATGCTGCCTAGTCCTGAATGTTCAGTGGTTTTTATCAGTCAACAAGAAAGTGCTATGAGGCTAATGTTAAGTAATTGAGGGTATTTATCAGAAAAAATTGGAATGATTTCGTACTTATTATTATTATTGTTTCCTTTAGTTCCTAGAGGAACATAGAGCTCCAGCCACACGTCTACATTGCGTTCGGTTCTCCGTCAACGTTTTCACTTGGCTCCACGTCTGCTCATATGCTCTCATCTCCTCTTCATATCACCTCCTCCGTGTTACCCTCGCACTGACGACCAACACGCCGCTTCCCTCGAGTGATGGGCTGGCGTGTGATGTCACTTGGTGGTTGTCTCAGAGTATGGCCAATCCACCTCCACTTCTTCCTGCATATTTCTTGCACAAGTGGTTCCTGCTGAGTTGGTTCGTTCCCAAAGATCACCCACTATTGCTGATCTTTTCTGACCGGTCATCTGATCTTGAGAATTGCGCGAAGACAGCTGTCGATGAAAGTCTGTAGTTTGTTCAAAGTGCTCCTCATGACGCGCCAAGTCTGTGATCCGTATAGCAGCACTAACTTCACATTGGAGTTGACAATCCGCATCTTATTTTTTATGTCGAGTGCTGTTGACCTACACACAGACTTGAGAGTGATGAAAGTTTGCCTTGCTTTCTCGATGATCCTCGCTTTGATACCCTCATCAGTTCCGTCCGCCTGTAGCTGAAACGACGATGCTTCCCAGGTAGGTAGGTAGGTAAAGGAGGTCGCTTCTTTCAGATTCCTCCCATTTATGCTGGCTGATTGTTGTCTGTCGTTGTTGCTGTTCCTGTTGGCCAGGAATCTTCATCTTCGTACTTACTAGGTATTATTCGTAAGTAGAGAAGACCACCCTGTCTGCTACAGGATCCAGTACAATATAACTACCCAGGCGTAAAGTATTCACATTAATAATTAACATCATGTAAGTTAATTATGTAAGTTATTATTTCCGCGTTCTGATTCCACGAATGACCCCGTTCAACAAATCCTTATCTATTATTATTATTATTTTATTTCTTTATGCTCAGAGTGGAACATAAGGCTTCAAGCCACAGCTTTGAAGTTTGGGTAGCACTGGCTTTATTTTTATGCAGGGTGGAACTGCTAGCCTCACATGCAACCTTCCCTCATTACCGGCTTAGAGAGGTTTAGGAGTGCATCGGCAGAGGATCGAACCTCGACCCACTTGCACGGGTGGCGAGCGTTCTACCACTGAACCACTGACGCATGTGACGTAACATATATATATATATATATGTACATTACATTGCCACAGTAATAAAATAGATATTTCTACAGATTTGTTATTAAAATCAGAAGCTTTTGATAACGATTACGTAATACAGAAAGCATCCATCGAGTAGCAGAATTAAATATGCAGATTAAGTGACGTAACATAATTGACAGGACTGAGTAGAGATCGACTAGAGTTGAAAGGGCGTTAATTTAAAATCAATTTCATGAAGAGTAGAAATGTCGTAGTGTGAAGGGGGATAATAATAATAATGATAAAATTTAAAATTATTGAGGTTAACGAAAATTACTTATCATTGTAGATTCATTCAGTGATTGAATAAACTTTCTGTACACTGCATACAAAAGAAGTTTGTTCAATTGACAGAGCAGACAATAGACATAATTTTTCACTACACTTAATACGTAATATTCGGTAATCGTAATTTTTAAAATTTTTTTAGCATTCTCCTTCCCACTGCTATACATCTATTCTTCATGACACTGATTTTTAATTTATTCCCCTTTCAATTTTAGTTGAGTCCCACTCAACCCTGTCAATTATGTTGCGTCACTTACCTACTTAGTCCTCCTTTATTAAAATTATCTTCATATACATAATCATATAATTCGAGTTTAAAAAGTAATTTACGTTGGAAAAGGAATCATATAGAAGGCTAATTATTGATGTGAATGAAGAATGTCGTGTGGCAATGTACCAATTGCTGAATTCGGTTTTTCTATACTAGTCAGTCTTCTTTTTAAAAGCCAATCATTTCATCATCCTTTCTTCAGAAACTAAGTTAATTTAGCCGGAAATGAAAATAGTTTGTTTACTATAGTTTGGTTTGTATGGGGTTAGTTTTGTTTTTACGACTTGATCACGGATTGATATGAGCTAGAGAACAATGGTTGGGGTCGCGCTAAATCACAAATTGGTAGAAGTTAGAAATCATGAGCTGGCCATTGAATCGGCTCCCAGTGGCTGCTGAATGGTATACGAGCCAGCTTGCCTTGTAACCGGAAGGTCATGGGTTCGAACCCTGGTGGTGAGTTCGTACTGGCGATGATTCCCAAACTAGGATGAAACAGCTGTCCAGTACTCTCTGCTGGTTTTCAATGATTCTCTAGCTGATATCAATCCGTGATCAACTCGCGAAAATAGTTTGGTTGAGTTTCTAGTGTATCGTCTAGAAGTGATAAAATAATTAATTCTAGTGCTGATAATAATATATTTCAATGTGGATTTCGTCACAAACTTAGATCAGTTACAAAATCAATAGTGGCTACTTATTGCCTGCATCCCCCCCCCATCGCTACCAGAGACCAAAACCAAAACGTCCAGGTTACAAGAATAGACCGCTGACCATCTGTCCAGCCACTAGGTTGGTATTCAATGACCCATGAATCCGAGCTTCTAGTTTGGTCCCTAATATTAGAGTGGGTGCGCACTGATGAAGTGTCGCAAACCAGGACGAAACAGATTCTCATTACGTCATGGTGTTTAGTGGTTTGGTGCATAACTGACTCGAATTCCTAGAGAACTCATTGGCACAATGACTTGAAAATAATACCCATAAACTGAAGTTAGATTGCAGTAAAGTTAACAGATTCGTACAGAAGACAAATTAATCAACTACCTGGAAGATCAATCCCCTTATAAGTTTGTCTGGAGGATTATAAATTACTGTTTTGACACTATTTTTTTTCTCCTACTACTATGCATAGACCTTGTTTATTACCCTTTCCTATCGGCTTTTTTTATACTATGAATAGACAGACTATTTTCCATTTGCTGGTATTTCTCTTAAAACTGTAAGCAAACGATGCCGCATCCTACAGAGGAATCGAACGGCCTTTCTTCACCCCACCCTAATCCCGGCCATGTTGATAGTTTATCTGTTCTGTGTCAAAAACGGGAAGAAAAGGAAATAGTTATGCAAGTTCACAGGCGACTAAGATATGTTTCAAAATAAACCACCAACAAGTTACCTACAAGTTGTAATCCCAATAATACATCAATAACAAAAATTGTTTTTAATACAGGCTATTTTTGTTTCTACTTTAATTGAAGAAAACAATTATATACAAAATAAATTACGACATGAGAATTCCAGATAAAGAAAGCAAAATGAGATTAACAGTTATGTGTATTTCTATCAAGCGATCAAAAGGTAAGAACAACAACGATTTGTGAAGAACTAAATGCTACCATCATTGTTCATTTCTCTGCCTACTCATCAGCTGCTTACAGCGCAAAGACATTATTAAGTTTATGTACAGAAACAATTTTAACATACACATAGAGTTAATTTTTAAACAAAAATAAATATGTACATACATATATATAATGGTAATGATAATAACAGTAATCATCACTTTATCTCAAGCAATAATAATCATACATAATAGAATTTTTAGCGTAACATAATCAAATTAAAGAGAGAATGAACACATCTAGTCACCAGGGCAAGGAAAGACTGATAACCGCTTCCTTCTGAACAACGCATAAATCGGGTTTCAGGCGCTTGATGGAGATTGCTTCAGAAAACTTGAGGATAGCTGAACTCCTTTGCCTACTGATAATTTTGAGGGATCTTATTACGTCAACCTAGTTACCCGTGTCAAAGAGATGCTTGGCAATGACTCTGTTGAAAGCATTTGTTTTCTTCAGATATAGGCTTTATGGTACATGTTCAGAAAATCAGGGGTATGCCCTTCTACGGAGTACCAAGTAAATTGCCAAAAACATCCAGGTACAGAATACTCTAAGCAGTAGAGGTTATTACGATTCGCGTGAAACAACCAGTGCTTTGTGTGCAGAAGAAACAAATCCAGCCACTAATACTACCCTGGCCGGCCTTCAATGGAGACAATAAATTTGATCTCTGACGAAATCTCAGCACATATACAGAGGGCTAGTTTCGCATATGCAAGTTCACGCCGTCTCTGGTTTAGTGGACGTGATATCCGGCTGGCTATCGACCAAAGGATGTGTGCACTGCTCATCAGTCCGCTCCGTCCTCCTTTATGGCTGTCGGTGAGAGTGGAAGACATGGAAAGGCCGACTAGTTGTCTTTGATGATAGGTGCCTGCGTTCTATCTCCCGTGTCAAGTGGTATAATAAGGTAAGCAATATTGAGGTTAAGCGTCGAGTGATAGGTAAGGAGGGGAAATCAGTCAACGAGAATGTGAAATGACATCGACTGAGATGGTCAGGACATGTGTTACGTTGCCTAATCATCGCCTTCCTCGACAATGGGTAATGTTAGCTGATATAGGGCCAGGCTGGAAAAGAGCTAGCGGCGGTCAAACCAAAACATGGCCTTATCAGTCAATGAAATCCATAACAGTTAATCTAAGCCACATAGGAAGGTGTAGACTTCCTGACTGGTTGGGGCCCTCGGGATGGTAAAAACCAATGGTTGGACACAATTGGTGACATGGCTCAAAATCGTTCTCAATGGCTGGCGCAGATGCATCCACTCCTTGTGACTTATGATTTCCAATTAAACTGTTTTGTTCTTCGTTATTACTATTCCTTTGTCTCACACCTCTGTTTACTGTCTTTATTATACATTTCTTCTCTTGCTTTGTGTGCTACATGGAGTGGAGTGTGGCGACTTGAACTGGCGCACATATGTGCAAAGTTGTATGTCGAAAACAGACAGACAGACAGGGAGACTATAAATTCATGAATTTGTATTATTATCTTCCCTAATTTTTCTGACATTCAGTTTATTGAACTGTAAACCATTGACATTATTATTGATTCGATGTTATTTAAACAACATTAATGTTGTTCATAACTCTAATTCGTTCACTATATCGCATATATAACTGTAGAATCTGATGAAGAAGAGGTTAACGAAAAGAATATTCCCTTGTTCAGTAACCATTCTTTTGAGAAAAACTTAAATGGGCACTTTTAATCAGAAAGAATGAACTCTCTGTGTTGTGAATATGTTAAAATTGTTTCTGTACATAAACTTAATAGTGTCTTTAAGCTGTACGTAGGTGAGCAGATAGGAAGCCAAGGAAATAAAGGATGGTACTATTTTATTCTGCACAAGCCACTGTTGTTCTTGCTTTATTCAAATTCATAAAGGGGAATGAATGTATGAAGTTTATCAAAAGGTATAGACACCATCAATTGACAAGTAAACTAACCATGTATAAAATTAACATCTAAGTACAAGGTTAAAAAAATGAAAATGTCAACTGCTGTCATCAAAAGCCTAGAGAAAAGAAAAGACCCAGTTTGTCGTGTATATACGAATCAATCCGAGTTGAATGGTATGTATGAGGGGAACCGATTGATGATTGTTTGATTTCAAAATGCATGCACCCACAAAAATACATACATGATCACGTCTCCTGAGGTTAGTAAGTTAAACAGCAATGGACGAAACAATTGTCCACTTGTCCAACGGTACTCCACATTACACATGTCGACTATTAAAAATGCTGTAGTCACTTCGTTTCTTACTGAAGTCAACATATAACTAACAGTTTTAGATTTTTTTTCCTTTCACCTTAAAACAGCTTCATAAAGCGTTATAAGCTGTACAGACGTGAAACGTGCTTAAATAGCTCTTTATGTAAGTAAAGCAAAATCAAAAATACTCTATTCTGAATGAAGTTACAACACAAAGCGAAACCACAATGGGATTTCACTAGACATATTGTATTTCGCAAAAAGTTGAATTTGATTTTATCAAAAGGTTTGTTGAAGTTTAGTTAGATATATCATGGATAGTACATCCACTAGTCGGATAACTTGCAGCTGAATGTACACTATACTACTAGACAGCACATTATCTACTGAGATATCAAACATTTTTAGACACATGACCTTAATCCTACCATTTAAATTGTTCGTTTGAATCTGTAAATCATACTTTACAATAATAATTTCTTTTTGGTTACAGGATTCCATCATGAGCTGACATCGTTTAGAGGACCATTGGAAAACCGCCAAGAAGTACTGGACACCCAGGTATTTCGTCCTAGTGCTTGAGATTATTGATCAGTGCGCACCCACCTCCAGGGTTCGAACCCAAAACCTTCTGGTTACAAGGCTAGTGAATTCGTAGACCGTTAAGCCATTGGGAGCCGATCCCAGTACAGTAGGTCGGGCGTGAGGACAAATACTCGCCACCGATGACCATTGGCTAGTGCAAGTTGCGCTATGTCGTGAACTGGCAGAAGTTAGAATTCATGGACTGATTGGCCATTGGATCCGCTCCCAGTGGCTACTCAATGTTCTACGAGCTCGCTCGCCTTTTAACCGGAAGGCCCTGGGGTTCCAACCCTGGCGGTGGGTGCGTACTGATGAAGAGTCCCAAGTACTAGGAGGAAACAGCTGCTCTCCAGTACTCCCAGGTTTTCCTATGGTTCTCTAAACAATGTCAGCTCTTGATGAAACCTTGTAAGCAGTCAATCAAATCCATACAAACCAGTACTTGAATAATTTTTTTATTAACGATTCAAATGTTAAACCCTATTCTTCAAAGGGGATTATATACCTTCAATATTCTTTTTTTTAAAAAGAGCAGTGAATAGCGTTCAGGTCCAGTATATAATACACTAGACAATAAATTTCAGTCAGCACCAAAACTAAGGAATACATACATGCTATTAGATACATACACTTTAACGATCAATCAATGTCACAGTCCTACATTGCGTCACATCTCTGACTGATGTACTGAGTGATGCAAGTTAGAATCTCCGAGTAGGCATCACTGCCTTTGAGTTTGCAGATCCGTATGATGATAAGCGCTAAATGAGCAACGAAACCTAAGTACACATGCTTCTTGTTGATAGCCTCTAACCGGCATAAGTCTACAACACAGAGAGCAGCAGCATCAGCCGTAGAATCCTTAAAAACAAAATGAACACTGAACGAACAGCCGTTATTTCTCAGCTTAGAAGCCATGAACCTACTAAGTTGAATTATTCAGTCAGATCTTGTGCAAAGCATGTTAGAATTCCAGCACAAGATAGGATTTCCCTGGTCTGCAATTCAAAACGTCTACACCAGTAAGTGAAACGAGAGGCGAAGGTACTATTGAATAAAAGTCTCAACATGATATTTTGAATTCTAAAGTGTTAGCGAATTTTAAATTATTATTTTTTTGGTTACAGGATTTCATCATGAGCTGACATTAGTTAGAGAACCACTGGAAAACCTGGGAGTACTGGATAGCTGTTTCGTCCCTGTTTGGGACTCTTCATCAGTAGGGTGCAGCAGGTCGGGTGTGAGGACAAATACTCGCCTTGTAACCAGAAGGTCCTGGGTTCGAATCCCAGTGGGTGCGTACTGATGAAGAGTCCCAAACTAGGACGAAACAGCTTTCCAGTACTCCCAGGTTTTCCAATGGTTCTCTAACTAATGTCAGCTCATGATGAAAATCCTGTAACCAATCAAATCCCTACAAACCAACACTTGAATATTATTTTTTTTTAATTAAACCAGATGTGAACCGATTTAATCTAGTCAAAATATACTAGACGGCTCGAAACGACACAAGACTACATGTGATACACTATATATATATATATATATATATATGTAGCATACATGTACACTCACACCTGCCTAAACAAGAACTATGCAGCAATTAATCTCTCTATAAGGTCAATTCAAAGTCATATGAGCCAATTATATATCAGACAAAATATGGTCATGAATAAATAGTTTAATAAATAAACAAATATACAAACTTACTGAACGACATTTATGCAAACAATCCAAAGAAATCGAATTCTGTGTACCATATGGTGAGATTAAATTATTCTGTGGTGGAGGTGGTGCATGTCCACGTATTCGGCCAGGTGTTGTATTATGATGTGGGCTGGATGAATTATGATTTAATGAATTCGCATCATTGATATCAGTCGATTGGTTTTTGATATCAGACACTGTGTTATTTGATGACGATGATGATGATGATAACCATGGTAAGGATCTGAATTGATCAGAAGGCAGCATAGAATCAATAATAGGCGAATTAGGATTCCAATAAAAATCTTCACTAACACGACATCCATCATTCACATCAACTACAAACATGGTGACGAAATATGGTTCAGGCTAAAAAAAATAAAACAAAAAATTTCAGAGGAAAACAATGAAAATTAACAAGTAATACTGACTGACTGTTTGCAACAAAGAACTACTACTTTGCACAGATGTGCACCAGTTCAACTCGACATACTTCCGTCTTGTAGTACACAAAGCTAGAGAACAGAGGTAATAGGAGATAATAATTAAAATAGTGAGACAAAAAGAATGATAACATGCGAGAAAAATAGAGCTTTATTATTATTATTATTGTTCCCTTGGGTTCCTAATGGAACATAGGGCTTCAACTGCACGTCTCCACTTGCTTCTGTCTTCTGATGTACTCTTCACTTGCATCCATGTTAATCCATACTGTTTCAATTCCTCTTCACACGATCTCCTCCATGTCACCCTTGGACGTCCCACTCGCCGCTTCCCTTTCGGGTTCCACTCCAGCTATGGCCTGACGAGCGATGTCACCCAACGGCCTCCTCAGCGAGTGTCCAATCCATCTCCACTTTCTCCTGCATATTTGTAGGGCGATTGGTTCTTGTTTTATTTCTTCCCATAATTTCTTGTTGGTGATTCTTTCCGGCCATCTGATCTTCAGTATAGAACGAAGACAGCTGTTAATGAGGGTCTGCAACCTGTTGGAAATATTCTTTGTGATCCGCCAAATTTCTGATCCTTATAGAAAAACTGACTGACTTGACGTTTGTATTGAAAATCCGAATTTTGTTGTTGATGCTGAGTGACAAAGATTTCCAGACTGGATATGACAAATTACAAAGTGTGGATGCATCTGGGCCATTGAGAGCGGTTTTGAGCAATATCAACAATTTTCTCCAGCCGCTATTGGTTTTATCATCCCGAGGACCCCAACCAACCAGCCAGCTAGCCAGTCTAAACCTCTCTACGTGGCTGACTGGCCTAAACTAACTGTTGTGTATTTTATTGACTGATGAAGTCATGTTTTCCTGTGACCACCAACAACTAGCAGCTCTTTTCCAACCTGATCCATCCTATTGTCAGTCAGCTTAGATTGTGTGTCAAGGAAGGCGACCAATGGCCAGACATGCATGCATAACATATAGCCTAACTATCCCATTCAATCGATGCAGATGCTTCACAACCTTGTCAGTTGATTTTCTCTCCATACCCAGTTCACGACCGAAGCCTAACCTCAATATTATTCACCTTATTATACCACCTCACACCGGAGACATATAGCAGAGACACAAGATCAACGACAGCTAGTCAGCGTTTTCATGTCTTCCACCTCCAAATGCCATGTCTCACTGACATCCAAAGGAGGACGGAGCAAAAAGGCTGCTGAGTAGTACACACGCGCTTTGGTCGATAGCCAACCGGATATCACGAATACGCGAGGGATGGCGTAAGTTGTCAAATGCTAAACGAGTCTTTCATATCCGTGCTGAGATTTCGTCAGCGATCAACCCACTGGGGCTGGCTCATGCAACTTCCCAAATAAGTGAAGTGATCAACACACTCCACCACTTCACTCTCTATCTTTAAGCTAGGATTGAGTCAATATAGTCGAGTCCTGTGGCAACATCTTACATTTAACAGGAGCAAACCACATGCCAAACATCTAAAGATTTCTACCCCTTTCATGGTGCACAGAAGATTCTGTATTTATCAGTGTCTTCATCTAAGAAGAAAGACTATGTCGTCTGCATATTCTAAGTCAACGAGACTATTGTTCCCTGGTAACAAGTCAATCCCTGAATCGATGAAGTGAGTTAGGGTTAAGTTCATTAGTACATCTGTGATGAAATTGAATGGAAATGGGGATAGTCGGCATCCCTGATGGACACCAATAGTTGTCACCACTTCAGACGACAACTCGCCTGGCTGGCTTCAAGGGTTTGAGTAGAGTGCCTTGATCAGTATGATGTATTTTCTCGGTATTCCCTTCACAGTCGAACATTGCCATAGAATCTCTCAGTCGACAACTCGGTCGGCTTCAACTGGGAAGAAAGTAGTTATATTTAACAAGACCAAACAGCATTCGTTGATTTATTGTCAGAAAGGGAAGAAAGAAGAAAATTGCAGCATGTTCACCATTGATTGAGATTCTTGAACATATTCAATAACGTTTTGAGCTATCTCTCGGACCCCAATCAGGGAGTTGTGACGCACCAACCTATTCTAACCCATCACAAATATTCTTCATCCCACGACTCCACGTCATGGGCTGATCACCTCTCCACTTTTTCCATCCCGTCCCAGGGCTTGCGAACAGAAACCGGTACGGGAGCCTCTGGGATGACATTTCCAGCATATGTCCCAGACACCGGAACCAGTGTTTCCAGATGACAACACTCAACGAATGGTAATTTCCACTATGTACAAAAAAACTCTGCCGGACCTCAGAATTACTCACATGATGATGCCATCGAACGCAAGCAATTCTACGGAAACAACGGTAATCGAATACGCAGAGTCGTCGGACACTCTCAGCTCGGAAAGGCCAGGTCTCACAGGCACAGAACAAAACAGTGTGCACGGAAGCATTGTAAACACGACGTTTGACAGCCAGACTAACGTCGCAACGGCACCAGAGGTGGCTCAAGTTCAGGTGTGCCACCCTAGCTTTCATGATACGGTTGGGAATCTCGTTCATCAAACCTCCACCAGCACTCACACAACTGCCGAGATACACAAACCTATCAGCAACTTCAAGCGGTTCACTTGCAAGAGTGAGTGCAGGTACAGTACATTGCACTCAGATGGCGTGAAGTCCATACCATAATTACAGACACTGACCAACAACTGATTAAGTGCGATTTGGGCAGCCTGCATGCTATCACACCTTAAGACGATATCGTCTGCATTCTCGCGGTCGAAGAGTCATTATCGAGGAAGCAGATCCGCATTACCACCACCATCATCACGCACGTCGTTCAGAGTTGACTCTAGAATGTTATCGATGGCAAAGTTAAAGAGAAACGGAGAGATCGGGGAACCCTGTCCCACCCCAGTGTTGGTTGGGAACAGTGATAATAGTTGGTTGTATGCCCTCACTCTACCTGAAGTATTTCTGTAGGAAATTTTAGGATGTTAACAAACTTTTCAGGTACACCCATCCCTAACAGACAGTTTCAGAGAACAGTGCTGTCCAAAAAATCGAAGGCAGCCTTAATATCAAGAAACACAACGGGTTTGGGCCTGCAATACGTGTGATGGTGTTCTTACAACCAACAAAGGGTGAACGCATGACCAATGCACCCACGGTCTGAACGAAACCCAGTCTGCTCCTCGTGAAACAACTCCTAACGTGTTTCGTATAGCCTGCGAAGCAAGACAACAGTCAATATTTTAGACACGATTGACGAAAAACTGATACCCCTATGGTTGTCGACCCCTTTTTAAAGATCGGGATGATGGTGGCTTTATTGCACAATGATGGCACATCCTCAATGTCCCATACTTTCCTGAACAAAACAAGTCAAAGCCATGACGAGAATCTCACCACTATCTTGAAAAAAGAGCCGAGAATGGATGCGAGAAGAAAACCCCCACATCAATTACACAATCAATACTGACAAAAGAACAGTGAAGAAAGCTCAGACAATATATATATATATATATATATATTATTCCATTCACGGAAAATACCCATCGAGTTATGAAGAAAATAAACGACAATTCAGTGAAGCAAATTTTCTTTATCGACGAAATCATCTTCAGAGGCTGTACTGTACAGTCGTATTTATATTTATCAAAAATGTATACTAGTCTATTATTGAGTAATGGATGGGGTGGTGACATAATTGATATAATTACACTGAAGGGGCTTTACAAGTAAAAATCAAAGTCGCAAATTACGTAGTACTCAACGGCACAAAAGAAGAACGGGTTAGAAACTTGATAAGGTTAAAATTGTTATTGACTAGTGAGAGGAAAGGGTAGTTGAGTGTCCATTTAACAAGTGTGAAGAGAGTGAGAAAATGTACGAAAGGAACACGCGAGAGTGATAACAGTGAATTAATTATTAAACTAAAAGCAAAATTAAGTGATAAGAAAAACTCCAGGGAACGACAAATGAAGAGATTAAGAGCATGGTAGAATAAGAGAGAGACAGAACAAACTTTTTTCTGCATACAGAGTTCGGAGTTGTATTGACGACTCGCCAACGCCTCCGCCATACACAAATACCGAAACCTAACACCCTTTGTACCACTTGGTTTTACCTTTTAGCTGATCTTGAAAGACGACTCTGGTGGAGCTACGTGGCTTGAGTTTACCAAGTGGTGGAGAATTCAGCTAGTAACTGTCATGCATTGTCCTTTCGCTAACCATGCGGGATAATGTTCAGAGATGCGTTTGGAAAAAGGGCGCTTTGTCCGGCCAATATAACTAGCTCCACACAAGCAGGTTATTTTATAAACATACACTGAAGTGACCCATCCAAAGAGGTAGTTTGTCCTCCATATATTCATTGATCATTTGTCGGCTGCGAAAATTGATGCGTAACTCAGCCGCGAAGAAGGTTTTTCCCAGTGATCTGCATAAGCGCTTCTTCAAGATCTCAGCAGCGATATTACCTTTAAATTCAACGTTCATAAATAGCAGTTTCTTCTGCACGGTTCGGGTTCTTTCGGGTTTCGGCTTTACCTCCGTGTTTTTCTCGATGAATCTTGGAGGGCTTGTCTGAGTCGCTCCGGATCACTGGTACATATCCTTCTTATTCTTGAGGATGAGGAGTAGGTCAGATTCCTCTTTCTTCTCAAATGGATCCAACTATGAAAATTCGTGTATTGACCATTCCATGTTGGTTTCCTAGGGATCGATTCTGAAGAGAACCGTCAGATCTCATTTTTAGAAAAACATCCAAAAAATGGAATTCCGAGTTCATCTCCGATTCTGACGTGAATTGGATGGCATGATGACAGCTGTTGAACTCTTTAGTTTTCATTTCAATGTTAGTATTCTCGTCACATATGATGAAAGTATCATCCATGTGTCTTTGGTACAAATGGAAACTATCGATAGTGGGCCGTAACATACTATTCGCTAGACTTGCCAGAAAGCAGTCTACAAGTAAAGGACTCAATGGCGATCTCGTTGCCACTCAAGCTCTTTGTCTATACAACGTGTCGATAAAGAGAATTTTCTTCGCTGAATTATCTTCTATTATTTAATTATTTAAGGAAGTAAGGTAATACAATATCTATTAGATGTTAATAGTAACAGTAATAACTGTTCGTAAATGTGTATATATTTCAATAAATAATTCAATTCAAAAACGCTAAAAAACATAATATTAGAAGACTGTTATTAACTCACATTTTCGATATAAGCAGATGTACTACCCGATACATCTATATTGGCCCGAATTTTTGAATGTAGATTTAAGCATGTTGCTAAAAATCGTCGACTGCACAATTCCGCCGTCCGATCAGGAAAGGGTGATAAAGCATCCTTTGAATTCATCTGAGTTAAACTATTTCCAACATGTTCACGTGTTAAATTTTTCCCTTTATACTGTCGTATCTAGAATGAAATTAAGGCATAAAGATATTTTTTAAATGGGGATAAGGGATTTTTAACTTATTTAATGCTCATTAGAGACAGGTAGGCAGTTACCTGGGGTTCTAGTGGGAAGCCGTGATCAATAGGGTACAACAGGTTTAAGGCAAGGACATCGCGAAGTGGTCGCTTTATGTCGTGAATAGGCAGAAGTTAGAATTCATGGACTGGCTGGCCATTGGATCGGGTCCCAGTGGCTACTGAATGGTCTACAAGCTCGCTCGCCTTGTAACCAGAAGGTTCCAACCCCGCTGGAGGTGGGTGCGTACTGACGAGTAATCCCAGACACTAAGACGAAATACCTGGCTTTTCAGTACTTCTGGATAGAAATATCTGTGTCTTCAGGCTTTGCCAATATATTATTATTATTGTTTCCTTTAGTTCCTACAGGAACATAGGGGGCTTCAGCCGCACGTCTCCATTGTGTTCGGTTCTCAGCCAAAGTTTTCACCTGGTTCCACGTCTGTCCATATGCTTCCATCTCCTCTTCACATGACCTCCTCCATGTCACCCTCGCACTGACGACCAACTCGCCGCTTTCCATTCGGGTTCCACTCGAGAGCCTGTCGTGTGATGTCTCAGAATATGGTCAATCCACCTCCATTTCTTCCCGCATATTTGTGGCACAATTGGTTCCTGCTGGGTTGGTTCGCTCCCAGAGATCTAGTCTATTTCTGGCCATCTGATCTTGAGCGAAGTACTGAGCGAAGACAGTTGTTGATGAAGGTTACATATATATATATATATATAAACAGAATCCCACCCCTCCAAAAAAACTTATTCACAGTCATATAAGATAATAATAGGCCATTGCATACTAAAGATGATTACAATTTAATGGAACGAAAAACAAAGGAAGCAAATAATCATGACTTACTCTCACATCTGGAAAAAGTGTTACCATTTTTATTCGTCCTTTCTGACGTTGACGTATCACAAACAACTCAGTTTCCTGAGCATACTGATAAAAGAAAAGAAAAGTAGTTTTTGTCGTTATCATAAGTTGTTGCTTTTTCTAGAGAACCTATTAAGAGTTAATAAATAGACATAAACTATTTAAAAAAATAACCTGACTGCCTGACTGGCTTCAACGTAGAACACACTGCACAGATGTGCACCAGTTCCACTTGTCACACTTCCTGCTTGTATTATAAAAAGAAAGAGAGGAGAGTAAAAAGAGATTCAAAAGAGAGATAGTAAACGGAAATAGGCGGCAAAAATTATAGTAATGTGGAGGAACAGTAGAATTTTATTGGATATAATAAATGACAAAGAGTGATATCTTCGCCATCTTCGACATCATCGAGAAAAAGGATTTTCAGCCGTATCACCAATTGTCTGTATCCAGTCACCATTGGTTCTTACTATCCCAAGTACCTCCAACCAGGAAGTCTGCATCTCTCTACGTGGCTTAAACTAACTGTTGTGGATTTCATCGACTGATAAAGCCATGTTTTTGTTTGACCACCACTAGCTCTTTTCCAATCTGATCCTATGTCAGTTGACATTTCCTGTTCAAGAAAGCGATGGCTAGACATGCATGCGTAACACATGTCCTGACCATCTCCCTCAATCGATGCATCTGTTTCACAACCTTGTCGATTGATCTTCACTCCTTACCTACCACTCGACCGAAGCCTAACCTCACTATTGCTCACCTTGATATACCACCCAACACGGGAGAGAGCACCACATAATATAAATACTTTGAAGCCCAATGTAATTGATAGTAAGAATTTTGATTGATATATCACAGGTGACCCTGAATGATAGAAACCGTCTATCAGTCCACAAAAGGTTGAGGTAATGGACTGTGACTAGTTTAGTTGAATGGCAAGAGATGAGTGGCTTCATATCGTATATTTATTTTAATATTTTCAATTCGTGCTTCGAATAGTTTTGACTTTATATCGTAAACGTCGACAAATTCCTCTGGTTAATTTTGTTTTAATTTTATTTATATTTTAAGTAAATCAGATGCAATATTGTGACAAATGCTGAGAATTCCATTCTGTATCATAAGTACTGTTTTTGGAATAAAGCAGATTATTATTATGATTATTATATCCCCGCCAACTGTAGCGCCGTAGTCCGTTGCTATAGTGGTTTAATGACAAATTATTTCTTTTTAGGATTTTTAAATGAAATTTTGCATTGAAAATTTTTTTCTGGAGTGAATATTATCGGTAGTATTATATTCTTGAACTGCTTTACATTTTTAAGTGTAGAACATGGGCACTGTGATAGAATATGGTTAGGTGGAGACACAGAGAGGTTAATCACTGAGGCTTGTTTATCCATTCAACACTAAATGGTGTCAACATAGAACTTTGCACAGATGTGCAGCAGTTCGAGTCGCCACACTCCATCCACGTAGCACACAAAGCAAGAGAATAAAGGAGAAGAAGTGCATAATAGCGACAGTAAACAGGAATATGAGACAAAAGGAATAGTAACAACGAAGAACAACATAGCTTCATCGGAAATTATAAGTCACAAGGAGTGGATGCATCTGTTCCATCATTCAGAACGACTTTGATCCATATCACCAATTGGCTTCAGCCTTCATTGGTTTTTACCGTCCCGAGGACCCCAACCAGTCAGGAAGCCAGTCTACACCTTCCTACATGGCTGGTTGGCTTAAACTAACTGTTGTGGATTTCATTGACTGGTGGAGCCATGTTTTGGTTTGACCGCCGTTAGCTCTTTTCCCACCTAACCTTATGTCAGCTAACATTACCAGTCGAGGAAGGCTATGGATAGGCATGCATGCGTAACACATGTCCTGACCATCTCAGTCGATGTAACTCCACAGTCTTGTCGATCTATTTCTCCTCCCACCTACCTAGCACTCGACTAATGCCTTACCTCGATATTGCTCACCCTATTAAACCACTTAACACGGGAGATGAAACGCAGGCAACTATGATCAAAGACAGCTAGCCAGCCTTTTCATGTCTCCCACTTTCAATGGCCAGGTCTCACGGCCATAAAGGATGATGGAGATTAGCGCTGCTGAGCAGTACACCCGCCCTTTAGTCGATAGCCAACCGGATATCACGTCTACGCCAGAGACGGCGTAAACTGGCATATGCGAAACTAGCCTTTTGTATTCGTTCTGAAATTACTTCAGAGATCAACCCGTTGACACTGACTGATGCAACTTTCCAAATAAGTGAAGTGGTCAACACGCTCTACCACTTTACTCCATATTTCGAAGCTAGGAGGTGATGTAGTCCAGTCCTGTAACATCATCTTACATGTGGTGGGAGCGAATTGCATGCCAAACATTTGCACATTGCTTTCTGCTGAAGGTGTTCAGAAGACTCTGCACTTTGTCAGTCTTCACCTACAAGGACTACATCATCTGCATATTCTAAGTCAACGAGACTGTTATTCTCTGGCGGTATCAGTTCAATCCCTGAGTCGCTGAAGTCACTTACGGTTAAATTCATTAGTACATCTATGATGAGACTGATTAGAAATGGGGACAGTGCGCATCCGTGACGGACACCACTAGTTATCATCACTTCAGATGACAACTCGCCGTAAGCCCTCACCTGGCTGGCTGCATGAGTTTGAGTAGAGTGAGTGCCTTGATCAGTCCAATGTATTTTCTCGACATTCCTTTCACACCCAAACATCGCCAGAGTACCTCTCGGTTGACAGAATCGAATGCCACCTTTAGGTCAAGAAATATAACGATTGTTGGACGCCGCCGGTAAGTGTGACTATGTTTCAGAATCTGTTGAAAGGTGAAGATATGATCAATATACCCTCTTCTTGGTCTAAAGCCTGTCTGGCTCTCTTGTGTTTGTTCCTCCCGAGCACCACTTAGTCTACGCATGATTATTGAATCTAGAACTTTAGATACCATATTGGTCAAGCTAATCCTCCTGTGATTATCACATGAAGACTTGTCTCCCTTCCTGTATATCGGGATAATCAATAACTTAGTCGACGGGACTTCCTATGATTCCCAGACGCTGCTTAGTACTTTAGCTAACGCAGACAGTAAACTGTCTCCGCCATCCTTAAACAACTCTGGAGTCATACCGTCAGGTCCCACAGCTTTGCCTCGTTTCAGACTAGTGACAGCCATAGTAACCTCAGTTAAGGATGGAGGACCTGTATCTATATCCCATTCAGCGAAGTGTTGGATGTTCCATAAGTTGAGTGTAGCTGTAGGCCAAGTGAATTGCTGCTCAAAGTGTCCTTTCCAGTGTTACAATCGTCTATCCTGGGAGCTAATTATGGTGCCATTTTTCTCAGAGACTGTTTCACTTATCGTTGGCCTTTTATCACCTGTTTCTCTGATAAGCCTAAATAGTTGTCTGGTGTTACCAATCGCCGATGCCTTTTCCATCTCCTTTGCTTTTGTCGCCCACCACTGTTCACAGTCGTTACGAAGACTTCTTGTTGGTTTGCATTTGACTAGCTTTCGCTCCTTATCATAATCGGAGCTCGCCGGAATCAGTCTTCTTGAGTCAATCAGTTCGGATGAGGCGGTAGAGATCCAATGGCTCTTATTAACTTTTAGTTTTAGCTTATTAACAGCTTCTACAGCTGTGTCTACAGCTAATTGTATGTTGTGCCAGGCTACCTCAGGGGAAGTCCTACTGTCAACCTCAGACACTCGTTTCGCTATTTCTTCCTTAAATAGAGACTCAGTGTCTCGATCTAGCTGGGGACATAATTACTTCGCTGCCATCAATTCCTTATGTCCATTTAGTCGTAAGCATAAACATGCGCGAACCAGAGCGTGACCAGAGTCTACGCACGTGTTCCAGAAGGAGCGACAGTCTTCTACTGATCCTCACCAACGATAACCTATCGCTATGTGGTCTATCTGAGTCCAACGTTGATTTGGTGATGGAGGTCGCCAGGTTACGCAGTGTCTCTCTTTGTGCCTAAAGTTAGTACTGACTAGGAAGAGATGATTATCTGAACAGAACTGTAGAAGACGATCATTGTTGTCGGTTCGTCAGCAGGGAACTCCATACACACCAACTACATACTTCTCAGTCTGGCACAACTTCCCTACTTGGACATTGAAGTCGCGCCTGCTAAAACAACTATATCTGAACTTTTTGCAGCAAATAAGACAGTTTTAGGTAGAAGTTCTCCTTTGGTTCATCTGAACTGCAGTCAGTTGGGGCGTAAGTGGAGACTATGAAAAGATATCTACGGGTAACGCCGTCTTTACCTCTTTTAACGGACCCATTTAGACGGACTGCACACATACGACTACCTACTGGGATCCAATCAAGAAGTGATTTTTCTGCCATAACACTCAATGCTATCCCTAAACCTACTAGTCCTCGCGAACTAGCTGAGGGGCTCCTGACACCCGTCATCAGTCGTTAATACTGCATTACTGTGTGATATTTAAAAATAAACTTATTTAATATGCGTCACATTTGCTGTACTTTTATTCGAAAATGTTGCTTGATACTGATAACTGAGCAATGGAATGGACTACAGCATACAGTGAGTTAAACGTACACTGTTAAAATTTTCATAAAATCATGTTAGTATATTTTGGCCTATTTACTGAAACATCCTAATTCCCATTGGATAAGGCAGGTGGCACCACTTCAACAAAAGAAAAGTGCCATATAATCACCCGCAAGACATTCACTACAAAACCTTATGATAGTAGTATGTTTCTCCAATCTGGAGAAAAAGGATTAGAAATGTCAGTCTCAAAAGTTAACAACACCAACAATTTGAATAGTCTGAGCAGCCTGAAGGTATCAAACACCCAAATACTTCCCCAGCCTAGGACAAAACTCTTTTGGTTTCTATCTACAGTTATTGCTCTTATCCCTTCTTTAAACTGCACTACTTTTTACGACTGCTAACACTATGTTCCTCTTCATATAGAATCCTCATAAATCTTCTACAGACCTTTTTTCAATTCTACCACATATACCCTGACTGCATTATTCAGTGAGGTTGAGCTTCACTATATATGCGTGTGATTGTACGACAGTAGTTTTGTTTCATTCCTTTGCGTCCTCCCAAGTGGAACACAATAGGCTTCTAGCTTTTCATGCTTTGAAGTTTCAGTAGCAGTTGTGTTGTTGCCTTTACGGCGTGGGATACCTAGCCCCACGCCCACACTATCGGTCAAGTAAACGAGGAGAGGTTTAAGAGTGCTTCGGTCGAGAATCAAACCCCGGACCATGTGCGTGACTGGTAAGCATTCTACCATTGAGCCATATACGCCCCCACCCACACTACAATAGTGAAACGATCGAATGCTTGTCATACTCTGCAAACAAAACACAATTATGACCAGTTCACCAAGCACACTCTCTTAAGATATGACATATGCTAAATGTAAAAAGTTTTAAGTGACTAGTTAATCAAGACTTTTGATTTGTTCATTGTGCTAGTGACACTGAATTCTTAAAGACTGTGGGAATTGGTTTTCGATACTTACTGTAAGTAGTTCTAAATTGTGTACACACATACAAGCAGTTGCTTTTGTTTTGTAGCTTTAACATAGATCATCAGGAATAAGAGGTCCACTTCATTTCACTGACTAAGTGTTACAGGGAAGTCAAGACAACTTATACAGGTGATTGCATAACGTTGTCGACCGTTGATACCAAATCGATAGACAAATCTCAAGATATCATTTATTATTATTTATTTATTTAAACGCAGAAAAACTTGGTACAATATGGCACCAAGAAAGATGCGCTACACAATATTGTGTGAGGGCTGAGATACTGCCCAGGCGCCCAGACCGAAGCAGGTGGTTTTCCTAAGGGACCACCTCCGAGCCTTTAACTTGGAGTCTAACCCGCAAGGCAGCGGAGCAGCGTCAGGAGCTGCGTTCCCATGGTTGCCGGTGTCCCATATGGGTTCGTACGCCATTTGGTCCGATTGAATTCTGGAGCCCATGTACCCCATGGTAACTGCTTTTAGTCTAACCGCTATCCAAACAACCTTCCTGACATGGTAGGACCTGCAGGGACATGAGTCCCAGCCAGTTTAGCTTGTTGGGTCACTGCGGCCTTTAAGCCCCACCACCACGGCAAGGTAGCAGTTATCGGTCGGGCTCAAGATATCAGCCCAGAAAAAGACTAGATAAGAAAAGAAAAGCAGTTAGTCACCATCTTTTTTGTAAATACACTACACAGCTTACCCGTTGCAAAGCACTACGCACTGAATCGGCATTATTAGATCTTTTGAATAAATCGAATTTACTCCCGCTTGCATCTATATTATCAGCAGAAAAATGAGGATGTTGTTGATGATGGTGATGATGATGATATCCCATATGTCGTTTATAACTTTCTAATTTCAAAGCTAACTCGATTGTATTTAACCATGTCTGACGTTTTTCTACTGCGTCATTCATTGTCGGATCGAAATAAATGAATATTTCATCATTTAGTAAACCATTGGATGTTGATATTTCATCTTTTGCTTTGTTACTAGGCAGTTGAGCAGATGACGGTGAGGAGGAGGATGATGACGTAGACGGTAATAACCTTTCTAAACGTATCCAATAATCGCCAATTGAACGTACTGAGTCAATTGTATCTACACAAAAGAATAATAAAAAGTATTTAGAAAGAAATGTAACATAAATGTGTACAGAGTCTTACGATATTAACTCTATCTGTTAATATACTGTGAGGATAATAAAGCTACAGAAATGCCTGCAAATTTCGTCCTAGTTTGGAGGGGGGGTTCGAACCCAGGACTTCATGGTTCCAAGGCAAGCTTGTAGGCCATCTCAGTCACTCAGGCCCAATTCTCAACTGCCTATGAATTCCAACTTCGATTAACTCGTGATTTCAATGCGACTGGCACCAGCTTATGTCATCGCTAGAGAGTATTTATCCTCACTCCCAATCTGTTAGTAGACCCCACTCGTCACTTCTTATTAGAACCCCAGGTGACTTTGTCCGGTAGCCAGCCAATCACTAGCGAGCATCAGATTAATTTTGAAGAGTTAGTTTGTGGAGATGTGAAGTTCCCCAGAGTTCTAGTGAGAAGTTGTGGCCAGAGGAGTTCACATTAAGTGAATTAAGACAACAGTTACTCACTGATGACAGTGTAAACCAGCAGAGAGTACTGGACAGCTCTCTCGTCCCAGTTGGTGACTCCTCATCAGTACGCACTCACTGGGATTCGAACCCAAAACCTTCTGATCAAAACATATATATATATATCCCAAATCAGCAGGAGTTGGAATTCACGGGCTGACCATTGGATAGCGTCTGAATGGTCTACGAGCTCTCCTCTTGACCAGAAAGCCCTGGGTTTCAACCCTGGCGGTTGGTGCATACCATGAAGAGTCCCAAGCTAGGACGAAACATTCGGCTGTCCAGTACTTTATGGCTGGTTTCCCAATAGTTCGCTGACTAATGTCAGTTCGTGATCAATCCTGTAACCGATCAATCAAATCCCTGCAAACCAACAATTGACAATTGATCAAAAGCAATAATCATCATAGTAATAATAATGAGAAATGATAGAACAGTGATCAAACTCACCTAGATAAATAACATTATGATCTTCATGAGAGGAATATATATTTGAGGCACGCCAATCGTAAGGTGCTATAACATGTAGACCAACTGATATATTTTGTGTCCTGCTAGTAGTCCTCGATAAGTGTCTCTGTCTATCACTTTCAGATAATTCTTCAATTTGTATTTGTCTTAAACAATAACACTTCATTTCGTGTTTTTCAAATATTGATTTTGTATTATTATTATTGTTATTATTATTGGTGATATTATTATTAGTAGTATTAGTCGTAGTAGTATTAGCAGTGGCAGTGTATTTATCACCACTCCCAGAAGAAAGTAATCCTTCAAGAACACGTAAATAATTCTGATATTTTTCACGATTACATATAACTAGTTGACATTCTAAATAGATGGACTGCTAATTAAAAAAGAAAGACAGAACGAATACAATAAACATATGTATCAATGAACATTATATTATTACTATTATTGTATCCTTTAATTCCTACAGGAACATAGGGCTTCAGCCGTGCGTCTCCATTGCGTTCTGTTCTCTGCTAGAGTCTTCACCTGGCTCCATGTCTGCCCACACGTTTTCATCTCCTCTTCACACGACCTCCTCCAAGTCACCCTCACTCTTGCACTGACGACCAACTCGCCGCTTCCCTTTCGGGTTCCACTCGAGCAATGGCTTGTCTAGTGATGTCACTTGATGGATTGTTTCCTCAGAGTATGGCCAGCCAATCCATCTCCATTTCTTCCTGCCTATTTGTTTCACAATCGGTTCCTGCTGGGTTGGTTCGCTCATTGCCAGAGATCTCTGTTGCTGATCTTTTCTGGCTGGCCATCTGATCTTGAGTGGCAATGAGCGAAGACAACTGTTAATGAAGGTCTGTAGTTTGTTTGAGATGCTCTTTATGACGCGCAGTGCAAGTCTGATCCGTATAGTGAGTAGCACTGACTGACTTCACATTGGAGTTGAAAATCCGGATCTTATTTTTGATGCTGAGTGTTGTTGACCTCCACACAGACTTGAGAGTAGTGAAAGCTTGTCTTGCTTTTCCGATTCTTGCTTTGATATCCTCGTCAGTTCCGCCTGTAGTTGAAACGACGCTTCCAAGGTAGGTAGGTGAAGGAGGTTGTTTCTTTCAGGTTCCTCCCGTTTATGCTGATTGTTGTCAGTTGTTGTTGTTGCTGTTGGTGGTGTTGCCCAGGAATTTTCATCACCTCTGTTTTATCTATGTTCACCTGAACATAATGTACTACAAAACATGTTTAATAAGAATGCATTTTAGACAGACAAATGTTACATCCTATCAGTGACTCATTAGATGAACATACACATTATTATTATTTTTCGCCTCTCTGTTTATTCATTGTTAGCATGCTATTACTAACAGTAACCAAGAATGAGCCTTCTCGTATATATTTATTATCATTATACTATTTTAAATTAATTCAAATCTACATCAACTAAGATCGCTAGGCCATGTGTTACGTATGAATACCTAGTCATCACCTTCCTCGACGAAGAGCAATGTTAGCTGACATAGGGTCAGGTTGGAAAAGAGCCAATTAGTGGTGGTCAAACCAAAACATGGCTTCATCAGTCAATGAAATCCACAACAGTTAGTTTAAGCCAACCAGCCATGTAGGAAGGTGTAGACTGGCTTCCTGACTGGTTGGGGTCCTCGGGACGGTAAAAATCAATGAAGGCTGGAAACAATCGGTGATATGGCTCAAAATCGTTCTCACTGGCGCAGATGCATCCGCTCTTTGTGACTTCTAATTTCCGATGAAACTATGTTGTTCTTCGGTACTGTCTATAGAGTGTGGCGACTCGAACTGCTGCACATCGGCGCAAAGTTCTATGTTGAAAACAGACAGACAGACAGAATTCAGATCTAAACTTAGTACGGTATGAGTACTAAGTAATATGGTAGACAGAATTGAACTCATAGATTTTCATTGAATTCTCATCTTATATTCTGTGTGAAGGCTAAAATAGTAACGTGGATGTCAAGATCAAAACAAATGATCACCTTATAAGACTACTACATTAGGCTTTGACTTGAATTCTAATTAGCAAGGCAACCGAGCGATTATCATGAGCTACATTCTGAGGATTGCCAGTGATCAGAACAAGTTCACGCACAAAAATTTTACTCTAATCCTGAGAATTAAATGCACCATTGGTTTGGATTTTCTGACTCTTTTATATGAGCTCTCTGTGCTGATTAACTCGGTGATAGGCACTAAACATTCGAATTGTCGCTTGCACTTTTATAGGGACACTCCGCATAATGTAAAGATAGTGAATAAGGTTTCTATCTGATAGAGGCTATAAACACAGAATGAGAACTAAACAGTCACCATAAGCTCGTATTCTCAATATCTAATTGGTTTGAATAAAACTCTGTTTAGGCATATTTATGTTTTCGAGTTTACAGAAACTTGATCAATTTTAGGAATTATTTCATAAAGAACCGAAAACAGATGGAAGAACCATTTCCAGTCGAGTGGAAGAGGACAGTTATTTTTCTCCTGTTGAGAAGTACTCATCTAGCAAATAAACAATCTCCTCCATCCATCCATCATCTTATATACCTTCAAGTTTTACTTTTATTATTTCTATTGCATTTATGGTCCTGTTGACTCTTTGTTTTTTACTTTCATAACTGCAAACACCAAATTATCTCTATGACTGCTGTAATCTTTGTTTTTTCCCTCACCATATCACGTAAAGAGAACATTATATATTCAATATTTTTAATCATTCAAGGATTTGTATACCGCATTGACAATACTGTGTGATACAAGCGCACGGCAATTTCCACTTGTATTATTATCATTACCTTAGCTGCTATCATTATTATTATTTCCATTTCATATGCTGCATGTTTTTTTATTTTTTTTATATTAACCCTGTTGTAAATGTAAAACAATTTCTGTGTGATTAATTTTGTTTAAAATTTGAGGAAATTAGATTCAATATTGTGATTAATGCTGAAAACTCCATTCTGTATTGCAGTTACTGTTTTTGGAATAAAGTAAATCATTATTATTATTATTATTATTAAAAAGAATGTGCACGCAGAGCCCTCTAAGAAATCAAACTCAAAGTCACCAGATAACAAGGCGAACAAATTACCGTTCAGTTACCAGGTTTAAATCTGATGAACCAGAATCTATAACGTCTCGTTTTGAAACAGTACCATCAGTAAGTAAATGTCTCTACCCCAAATTGATGTAATCCGATCCTTATTGTTAGTTATGACATAAATATGATTTAAACTACACACCTGCCGTGAATTCCTATCAATTTCTAAAACCACGTTCTGTGTCTCTCAGACTTACACAGGAGACGTAGCTTATACCTCAATCAAGAAGATAACTGCAAATGTAAATTCATGATTGGTGCAGAAATATTTAAATCCGAGTAAAAGGGCATTCTAACCAACAGTTGTAAAGACCATCCTTGAGAAAACATTTTCACAGTTATCACATTATCCAACCGATGTCAACTTTCCTACACAAAAAGACGCTTTCTCATGCACCGAACATATTACTAATCAAGTTTTAATATTATGACCAGTTAGGACGTTCGCCGACCATGTACATCGCCTGGGGTTCGACTCCCGGCCACAGACGCACTCCTTTACCTCACTAAGCCAAAAATAAAGCTGGTAAAGAGGAAATGTTGGGCATAAGGCTAGCAACCCCATTCTGTAAAAATAAACACTGCTACAGAAACTTCAAGCCTCTAGCTTGAAGCCCTATGTTCCACTAGAAACGTGAAGGAATAAAAAAAAATGATACCAAATGTTTAGGCGAGAAAAAAAAGAGCCAACACTTACTGATGATTTTCCACTTTCAGACAGTCGGCTATCACAACTCATACTTGATATGTTTTCACTGTTACGATTGTTGTTATCCACAAGTGCTTCGTCATCAGACTGTGTTTGATCCTTTGTTTTGCTGCCTCGTCTGGATAATACACTATCACAGCTGACTTTTTCATATTTCACTTGATCTTTAGATTGATAACTGCCTGTAAATCGGTTCATTAGTCCAGTGGCGGAAGCTTCACCAATGGTTTGATTACTTTTTACAAAACCACCACCTGTAGTAGTTGACCGGCGACTACGGACTTGTAATTCCTTAGATGCTCGTGATTTTGATCCAGCTGAATTTGGCAAATGAACAGAGTCTGCGATATGATTAGGACTATCTTTATTGGCAGCAATTGACTGATCAATTGAAAACCAGTATTGAGACAAAGTTCCACCTAACTCATTGATATCACTATAAAAAAAAGAAACGGTAAACTAGAACTTAATAAAATTGACCACTAAAACTATTGAAAGCATTGGACCATCATACTGGTACAGATAAATGAAACCTTTTCACCATGGAACTTAGAGCTAGCACACACACACAACGTGAAAAAGTCTCTGGCCATCAACTAAAAGGAATTTAATTGTAATACTAAATAACCTTAGCATGCACGACCAGTCAAACATACTACAATGAGTAGCTTTCAATATATGTAAGTAAGCTACGTGACATCATACTATTTCGAAATGATAATTGAAATAACAGTTGAAGAGTAATATCGTCAACCAAGATTTTAAACACCGTAGTTTATTTCTCAACAGTTCGATTTAAAGTTGATTACAGTTCATGACTTACTCAAGTACTTTCCGTTCAAAAATCAATAGCATTTCATGCTTACATGAGAATCTAGTATGCGAATCACACAAAATACAGTTGTCGCAAAGATGATATGAAATTCCAGAGAACAGTATTTAATGTTTCCTGATGATCAATTAATCCATAACGATAATCTTAACACTGACGTTAGGTGATAAGCCATCACATGCATACATAAGATAGTTTTCTATTAAATAGGACAAATTCCTTTTCACAAAGCAGATTATTATGAAACTAACATTTTAAAACAGGAAAATATTTGGACTTCATCTCAGAAAAGAATGAAATATTTATTTTAGTTCAAAGCGGAAATTCGGTAGGAGGAAGTAATCAAATGTAAATCATATCATGCAACCAGTGGTGTCCGCCAGGGATGCCCACTGTCCTCATAAATGCACAGATAGACTCAACCCTAACTGACTTCAGCAGCTCAGGGACTGACATCTTACCAGGGAATCGTCTTGTTGACTTAGAATACGCATATGATATAGGTCTCCTAGCTGAAAACGCTGACAAATTGCAGTTTTCTGAACATTTTGAGCAGAAGTCTTTGGATGTGGTTTGCTTCTGTCCAATGTAAGATGATGCTACGGGATTGGACTACATCGACTACCAGTTGACTTAAAGACAGGAAGGAGTGAAGTGGTAGAGTGTTAACTACTTCATTTATTTGGGAAGTTTCATCAGCACCAACGGGATGACCGCTGACGAAATCTAAGCATGGATAGAAAAGACTCATATGGCATTTTCCAACATGCATAGACGTGATATCTGCTCGGTTATCGATCAAAGGACGTATATACTGCTCACCAGTTCGCTCCGTCCTCTTTTCTGGCTGTCAGTGAGATATACCTATTGAAAGTGAAAGACATGAAAAGGCCAGCCAACTGTCTTTGACCATAAGTGCCTCCATCCCATCTCCCGTGTTAGATGCAATAAGGTGAGCAATATTAAGGTTAGGCTTCTGTCAAGTGCTAGGTTAGGAGGGAAAATCAATCGACGAGGTTGTGAAGCAGCTGCATCGACTGAGATGGCTAGGACATATGTTACGTCTGCCTATCCATCGCCTTCCTCGACACGCAATATTAGCTGACTGACATAGGATGGATCAAGTTGGAAAAGAGTTAGCTAGTGGTGGTCAAACCAAAACATGGAATCAGTTAATGAAATCCATAATAGTTAGTTTAAGCCAGCCAGTCACGTAGGGAAATGAAGACTGGCTGCAGACAATTGGTGATATGGATCAAAATCCTCATTCTAGATGATGGCGAAGATGCATTCATCACTCTTTGAGTGATTTGTCATAGCAAAAAAAACTCTATTGTTTCTCCAGGTTACTATTCTTTCTTTCTCACACTTTTGCTTTTGCATATATTTTTCTCTTGTATCTTCTTTTGTGTGCTACAAGCAGGAAATGTGGCAACTCAAACTGCTGCACTTCTGTGTAAAGTTCTATGTTGAAACCAGTCAGTCAGTCATAATGCCAATAGAAACACACAGCACACGTAGTCAGGCTAGTAAATAAAAGCGATCGGGTGGAATATGGCATGAGCCACATTGAATATGGACTAGTGAAATACATTTGGATCCTCAAACAACACATTCCTGCATTACCAAAATGAGGTTGATGAACCATCAAAATACTTTCCACCCAATCCATATCAGGGTCAAAAACTATCAGACCTGATAAATAAGTACAAAGTTTAGGGTGAATTGAACGTCCAACAGTTTAAAATTACAATAAATGGCTCACCACGTCGGAAAATTATGTAATACACAACTCCAGTAGTTCAACGATACAATAATGTCTCATTGAAAAAGCTGAATGTTTTCATCATGAAAGTTAAACTCGACAAAGGGAACCAATAAAATCACAGCTTTATTAACACACACGATTAGCAGTCTAACTATAAAACTATCATGTGGAAACAGGAAATCATTCAAATTAATAAATAGCATAGTTAATGACAAAGAAATGTTACTTTATGAGTAAAATGTGAGACAAAGACTAACCTCAAAAACGGAAGCACATGAAAACTCCCACGATAAGCAGAAGAAACTTGCTGGACATAAATCCATTCCGTAGTTGCAAAAAAAGCGATTGCATGACGAGCCAATGGGTTCGAAACAAACACACTGTTTTTTTAGTGCGACTTCAGGAACACCATTGTTAAGCATCTGATGTCTATGAGGAATGCGGATAATCTGAAATATAACGGGGTATTTTAATACTCAGAAGATAACATTATTGAATTTGAAAATAAATTATCCAACTAAAACCTGGTCAGATTTGCTAATACATTCAAGGATAGTAAAAGCCCCAATACTTTAGTATGTTTTTATCAACAGCAACAGCAAAGTACTTACAACTAGTTGTTTTTTCTATTGTTTTTATTTTGAGGAACTCTTCGGATATCTCCTAGACCTATATCAAACAGGTCCGATGATTTAAAAAACCTTTCCTCCCAAGCATGCAGTCCCCAAATTACACTAACTGCATATATTCCACAAAATATCTCTATACATGTGGTGGCATGTCGTTACGAAAATGAACAACAATAAGAGCAGCTTCAGAATGATAATCCTTCGAAAGGACTACAGATGATAAGTGATCTGCAACATTAGACTGAATGTGTCATGATATTCTATTTTCACTGATGATACATGCAAAACAAAAGAGTTTTTCGAAGGTACTTGGAACAATGATAAATTATTTCCCCATGACATTGTCTAACTTAAAATAGGAAGTTATATTGACGTAAAATTTCAGGAGTTTTGGCAATTACTCCTCGTGAAAGTAATCAGTATAACGACCT